TGATTTCTTGTTTGACAACATATTCGTTTTATATTTTTCCTTTGCTATGACACTAAGAGGATGATACGAGGGGTTTTTGTGTTCAACACTATTATACGAAAGGCCGTTCCTGATGTGTTTTATACATTGATAACATTCGGGATTTCTTTTCAATTTAAACTATTCATAGCGACATCCTTCTAATCCAGATTCAAATGGGATAGGTCATAATATCTTTATATTCCTGATATGAATACATGTATATCAGTAATCGTAGTCTTCAAATATTTTTTTAAACAGTTCGTGGCATTCTATGGCTGACAATCTCTTGAATATTTTGCAGTTAAAAAAAAAAAGTAGAGTTATTAGTTTCCTGTTTGAATTGTTTTACACTAGTCATTTTGGGGCCCTGTATAGCTTGCTGTTCGGTATGAGCCAAGGTTCCGTGTTGAAGGCTGTACTTTGACCTATAATTGTTTACTTTTTATACATTGTGACTTCGATGGAGAGTTGTCTCATTGGCATTCATGCCACATCTTCTTATTTATATTTATTATGCATATTTAGTTCAACAAATCTGTGACGTAATGATTTTGTGATATTTGGCAATAATGACCTGAAGATGATTTTTACCGGACTTTTGAGAATGTAAAATTAACATAGTTTTATTGGAAAATATTCAATAAACAATATATAAACATAACTTTTTTTTCGAGAGCCCTGCAGGTTGTTCATAGTAAGTGTGAATGATAACGCGTTTTGATACTTATACTTGTATATCACGGCTTACGGGTCATCGAGCTTTGCAGTGAAAGTAACGTATAACGACTTGATGGTCGATAACATATGACGTCATCAATTTACATTAATTTTTGGATGAAGTTCTACTGAATATTAGAAAGGAAACACACCTATGAATTGAAAAGAGTCTGAGTTGTCAATTTCCACATTTACTATATGGGCTGAAATCTGACGCCCCACAGCCCTGGTAAGTTCTAAATCTCTGTTAAACGTCAGAGCAATCTAGGACTTACTCTTAACATGAAACGCATTTAATTCGATCCCGAAATATGATATTTACAGGACTATATCGAGCATAAACCTATCCAAATCAAAATATTAAATATTATTTAGATTTTCTATCGCTTTTTTTTTCGAAATCGTTGTTTTATTTCATATTTTGAAACAATGAAGCATTAAATTGCTAATTGATCATCAATGCAGTAATTCTAAGGCAAAAATGCATTTGAACTGTGCAGAATTATCAAGATTAAATCACATTAAGAACAAACAGAGTGTGCTTATGTCTTGTGTTAAGGATGTTTGTTGTCATACATCAAATGAATTTTTCAAGACAGTTGCATGTTAATTTTATTCAAACATATTATATTGTATTCTTGTCCGACACCCCTGTTATAATTTAACGCGACTAAGCACAAGGTAACAATCCAAAAGAAAGTTAAAGATAACTAAAACTACTACATGTACTAGGTTACGTAATAGGAAATGAAAAATCATCTCTTTTATTGTAAATTTTGGTATTAAACTTCCCGTTAAAGATATAGATATATCCAGGAAAGGGTAGTGTTCATTGTTAATATTAGCTTTATTTAAAGTCAGTTAAGCAGGATAAATCTCTTTAGTGTACATACTGAAGTCGTCATTATTGAGAGTCAATATATTATCCAAATATTTAAAAGTGTTATAAATTTTTTGTGTCAGATGTTGTTTCGATGGGTCTTTGCTGATTTTAGTCATAAATTGTAATTCATAACAATACAGAAACAGGTCCGCAATAAGTGGTGCAAAGTTAGTCCCCTTTGGAATTCCGATAACTTGACGATATACGGAATCTCCATAGCGAACAAAAATGTTATCTAGTAAAAATTCAAGTGCAGTGATCGTATCAAAGCAGGTCCAATTGACATAGTTCTTTTGTTTGTTGATTCTAAAAAATGACCTAAAAGAGTTTGAACATATATATTCGCACTCTGACTTTTTAAATGCCCAGTTAATTGGGTGTGTGAATTTTTCTTAATGAGATTATGAGGCAAAGTGGTATATAGGGTAGAAAAATCAAACTTTGAACAGATTCGAAATCACCAATATAAGCATGCAATTATCAAGTACTTCTAACGAATTTTTGACACTCCAAAAATAATTAATTCCACTATTTTCAAAGGCCTTATTTGAACAATTTATTACCAGGTTTTTTATTGTACCAAGTGTACTAGTAAGTAGAATAGACAGTTCAGTTGTGGAACAATGGCTTGAAGACGAAATAAATTTATATTTGTAAGGTGTTTTGTGATATTAGATAACGGTGTACCATTCTTCAAATCTCGTAAATCGATTAAGAAGATACAAAACAAAGTTCCCAACAACAACTTGGGATATATCTCATGACCTTCAAAAGGAGCGAGACATGGTACGTCGACATGGTAAACGATTCCTGCTATGAATTTATCCCCTCCCACCTCAGAATCTGGACACAATCAATATAAGTATAGATCGGACGACAATTCTTGTACAAGATCTAAGTAACAAAACATTACGCACGCTAGTAAAGTGAGACACAGCGTATCGGTCAAGCAATTCGTGATTAAGACCGTAAAACTTATGTTATGTCGATTTCGGTCGGTAGCAGGACATAATCAATATATCTGAAAGTGAAATTAACTTTACTAGATGCTTTTTCATTTTGTCTTTGAGAAAGTTGTATATGATTCTACTTCTTACAGTACAAAAACAAAATTGGACAGTAGAATAATACTGACTGTATGAAAAAATATCAATTCACCAAGTTCAACAAATAATTATGCTGTCTACCAAAAAGTCCAACATTATGATGATATCATCTTTGATGTATTTCTTTTTTAAAAATCAGTGTAGTTCTTCATAAATTAAGAATTGTTATGACCTAATCAATAAATTTGTATCTTCAATTCCAATTTTTGTAGGAAAAGCTCTGTTTATTGAGATTATTTAGTCGATCTTTCTATTGAGCATAGGGAATAAGAGAAAAGCGTAGAAAAATCAAAAGTTTTAATATTACTGCAAAATTGTAAGACTGTGATTGAATATTTTGGAGTAGATTTTTAGACTTCAAAAGAACCCACACAACTGATTCACATCGCAATATTTCTGAAGTCCACCTTTTACAGTAGAATAAATCTGGTAAGAATTTTTGAAAGATGTTTAGTCGAACAGCTTGACAATCCGGTAATGCATACTTATTTACTTATTTATGTAATTTTTGGTTATCCAGTAGAAAGACTTTTTTATGTTAATACAAATGGAGGGAAGGACAGATTTGTTATTTCCTAACATATACTCTACGTTGGTGGTAATGGGGTATATGTTGGAATCCAAGTTTTGCTGTGAATTCCAGATTCTTTAGTCAGACATTCTAAATTATATTGTTTGGTATATAAAAAAAATGTTGTTAAACCAATTGATGGAACAACAACATATTTGTCGTTAAAAGTGTACAAAGCACCCACAACCTCGGGCTTCTTTGTTCAATTTAGATAAAGCTTCTCTTTATGTGGCATAGTCCAAAACAACATTATTCAGGTACCTGAAGTTAATCTTCCTGTCGATATACTGGATAATTTGATAGTTCGGGTCTTTGGCTAACAACTTTGTAAGTTGTTCATTGTTTACGATTTCTAGGTCTCCAGTTATAAGTTGACCATTCGAACTTTATTTATCTAGGGACGATGGACAAGAGCAATCAAGAGGTTTGGGTTTTACATCTTTGATGGTAAAGGTCTCTTATGTCCTCTTGTGGTTGGAAATCTTCGATACAATCGTTTTGGTGTATAGGTTTATTAAATGGCATGTATAGTTTTATCTTTGAAGTGATAACTTAAAGGTATTGTTTTCTGTCCAGATTTGTTGGGTAAATATTGGTAATATTGATAATATAAAGATCCTTATGAGCGAGTCCTCTTAAAAACTACGTTTTTAATCATCTTTGGAAGTAGTTGTTATGGATTTTAATTACCCATGGTTAGCAATAACCATAATTGTTTAAACAAATATATACTAAGTATGATTTGTACTAGATAGGCAGTTTTTGAGTTTTCAATGACTTCCTAAAATTGTTCACGGTAGAATTCATTAGTTCTACTTAACAATCAAAATAAAAATTTTAGCAAAACAAAAACAACCTCGTTTTCATCAATAAAAAAGTAATCGTTAATATCAATTTCATTTTAAACAGTTTCCGGTACTTCAAAGAACAGTGCTTAAAATTGGTGATTTCTTCCTTAATTTGCAATCTGTTTTTAAAACTAGAACAAAATGAGTTTAATTAACAAATGTTTGCTAATTTTAATATCGGGATATTTCAATTGCTGCAGGTCAACCGGAGTTTGCAGCAAAGCAAAGAGGTAAAACTTCATTAAATTAACACATCTTAAAGATACCACCTGATATCAATTATCTATCAATAAAATTTTAATCATTTTGAAAAAAAATCTGTTTGTACTTTTTGCATATCCAGAGGGAAAATCATGTAATTGCAATTAAAATAAAAAAAATAAATGATTGTCTTATTTCAATCTTTTGTTTTCCCCTTTTTGAGATTTTTTAAGTTAATCTACAATTCTGAAGAAACATGCTAATTATGAAGATTTCGGGTTAAAATATGACTTTAAAGCAATAAAAAAAGAAGATTTGAAATCTTCAGAAAAAATAATTGACATCTCTTTGCATAATACATAAATCAAATAAATAACAAAATAAATGTCGCAACAATGAACATAAAATTCACAATAAGAAGTGTTATTTAAATAGTTAACTATATCTTAAATGGTAACTTTATCTGAAATAGTTAATCTTTATTTTCTTTTTAGATTATCTGATTACACACAAAAATATTGCTTAACAACATATTATAGTAAAATATAGCATGTCTGATTTTATTTGATTTCTTCCTACTGAAGTCAGGAACAAATATATACCATTGTTTTATCTTATAATCTTTACCCTTTATTTCCGTTTTGCAGCGCTGTATCTAACAATGGACTGATCTACTTCAAGGAACAATTCTGTTGTGACAATTTTGAACGACATGAAGATGAAAAATGCCATGGTATAGTAATTTATAATCTTTTCAGTTTGTAGATCATTTGTAGTTAAGTTAAAAGATTATCTTATGATGGTCGTGTGTATAAAAAGTCTACGGTAATTCCCTTCCTTTTCAAAGTTTTCTGGTTGTTTTGGTTTTTTTTTTGGAAACAGTTCTATTGCAGAAGGTTGTCATATCCGAAATAAATCGTCCAATGGAAACATTGTGGTAGAAAACAAAATTCCTTTTTATCGATTTTTTTCATAATGTAATTCTATTTACGTGTATGTGTTCAGTTTTGATATTTCTCCACGTTTTTAACAGTTTAGCCTTTTCTTGATATTTGTCTTATTATCAGTTATAAACGTTTCTTTTTTTTTCGTTAGCAATATTTTCGTGACGAAATTGATATTGATTGTTTGAAATAAGTGATTGAATTCATGTGAATTATTGGGAATAGTGGGTGTCGGTCAATGAAACAAATTCAAGACAAACAAAAAAAAAACATCGAGAGAGAAAAAGCATCAAGCGGTCAACAAACGGTTTATAACAACAGACCGTAGTCAATGTAACATGTGATGATCTTAATCACTCATAGTCTGTACCAAAATATGTTTTTCTTATTTGAATCTCATCATCTCTGTACGCTACGACAAAAAATAACACGACAATTGTTTATTTAACTAAAATCTATACATTTTTGTCTTGAGCATACCTGGTGAATAATATCCCAGATATGTGTCAAAACATATCATGTTCTCGAATATATATTTAGTCAAGATACTTATTTCTTGTCTTTGTTTTGTGCCTTCGTTGTTAATAAATAGGGATTTTCCTACTAGATTACTTTTCTCAGTGTTTTAAATTTTAAGAACTGATTATTTTTGGGCAAAGAAAAATGCTTTCTAAAATAACTTCATATTACTGATATCGAATAATAAATACTCTCATTATTCGAATGTATCCCTTTTGAAAAGCTTATGAAATACTTGAAGTAATTTCAATGACCGAATAATTTTCTTCATGACAGAAAAATGAAATTTATAAAGCTGGTACATTATTTTTTAAAAGAATTATCACAATAATATTATGCGTTTTCTCAGTTTTCCATGATAGTGTTCTTTCATGTGCATTGTTTCACTTCAGATACCAAATGTAGACTCACGGGAACTACACTTTTATTGTGTTTTTTTCTTTTCCCCATGACTATGAATACAATTAAAATTTAACATAAATGTATTTAAAAAGCACAAACTGTGAGTGTTTCATTTAAAACGAGCGCTCTCAGTATGGCAACAAAACACTAGTACATGTAGCATAAATTTGATATATAGAAAATAGGGAATTAACTCTTATTGGGTGATATAACACCTATATATATTTCAGGTAGTGATTCTTTATACTGTTCAGCCATGTATTGAGTTTAACAGAAGTGCAAAAAACTCACTTTATCGACAAAACAAACATAACTATTTCAAAGCAAACAAAATGTCATTCATGACACACTTTGATTTTAAGGTTGTGCAGTTTGTTCCCGTCAAACTTAATTGTTTAAGCGGTACAGATACAACAGGTTTTGATATCACCTTATCCAAATTTATCAACAGTCATTTGTATATTACATGTAATATGTAAGGTGCGGCGTATTTTTCATCAATCAATATTATAACATTCTGAAAAAACGATAATTGTTAATAGTTTCATTGATGGCTACGTCACAGGATCATCCACTTGTATGAAAACAGATTAACTTCGATTGTTTAAAATAAAAATCGTTTTAATTGCATCCGAAAACAATCATACTGCACTATTATACGGGTTAAATATATGTGCATCTCATCTTCCGCTTCGGAAATTTGATAACATTTATTTTGAAAATTATAAACAAGTTTTCAAAACCTTCCTCATTCTACAAATGAGCATTTTTAGACAATGACCCATAAAATCTGAATGGAATTGAAATTGGTCTGCTAGCAACTGCAAAACGCGACTTTATTCAAAATTGATTCATTAATTTTTGTGGAACTGCACTAGATCGCCGACGGTCAAAATTATTTTAAGGAATACCGCAATACACCTTTCTGATATTTTATTTATTATAATATAACTTTGTTGGTTATCATTACGTTTGAATGTTGCATACTATTACGGTTGTTTATTAAAATGAATCCATCAAAGTATAAATAGTAAAGAATTTGGTTTATCCATATACATTTTATAATCATCTGGTGGCAATTAAAATATCAAACACTAGTTAACCCCACCATATGTTCTTCTGTCGAGTTTTATAAAACTTATGATTTAGTTGATGTAGTATGTCCACCAGCAGTGGCATCGCGACAGTCAATTTTTCTTGATGTACTTTGCGTGTACGGGTTTCTTACTCGCTGAAGAGACCGTTTGTTTGTTAATGTCCTCTCATCAAGACCAATATGTTGCTGTACCAGCAGACTAAAGCCTAAAAGTATGCTGTTCTTTATGCAAAAATCATAATTTGGATTTCCACTTAAACATCCCATTTTCAAACTTACATTATTCAGGAAAGAGGAATTTTATTAAATTTAAAATATAGTATCTCTGCTTTGTTGTAAGAAGAAGAAGAAATACATGTAAAATCTCCTTCCCAAAATTAGACACACAATCATCGTATGAATAAAGATAAATATACCTCATCGAGATATCTAACTACACATTTTTTTCTATAAACATTGGAATATCTTTTTTAAGGATGTTCGCTACTCTGTTTCAAAATAACAAGATTTTTAAAAGACTGTTCTAAAATGATAGTATATGAATAAAGGAACTAAAAAAGCAGAAAAAAATGAAGGGTCCGTGTGCTTGTTTTCGAGATAAAAGCCTTTTTTTTTCAAAAACTATGAAAAAATAACAAGGATTATATAAGATTTTCAAATATGGCTTTTTAAACTATATGTAATAAAATTATCAAAAGAAAAGAAGGGGTTAGTGGGCAAAATGTTTTAATGGCAAAACATGGATAAAACCAGAGGATTCCGAAAATCTGGCAGAAATTCAAAAACAAGAGGAGCAAACATGCTTAAGAAGGGAAAAATCTTTCTTTTTGAATAACAACAAACATTACAGTAACAAATACCAATTCAACCTCATAAAAGGGTTGATCTTTTTTTTATCAACAACGTATATGTCGAGTTTAATGGATTGATATTGCAACAAACAGTCGATAAGCAAATAACTACGTATTGTGCATATATTATATGAATCAGAACCATGCAGTAATACAAATGTTCATAGACAAAAAGATCAACATCTGGTCAAGTTTATTTCACGTCCAACTTTATTGGTGATGTTATGTCACTAAAGAACCCCTTTGTTATCATGTCATGGCTTTTAATGACATATAGGATACACTAAAACAAGGTCGTCTGTATGTCTAACACTTTTTCTTGACATTTACAGGACTGGAAAACCTCAGACAGTTTTCCCATCGTTAATTTCCAATTTCGGAGTTGTAACATTTACTCTGGTTAACCATGCACTGGTCAAATAACACAATTTATATGTTACTAGTGTTAGGAAGGATTTATTCCTCACAAACAAACTGTCCCAGCAAGGTTTTAATAGAGAAGTACTTATATCATCTCTACACAAGTATTGGGAACACCATAATGGATTAGTTGGCATATACGATATGTCTATAGCTCTACTCACGAGTGAATAGTCATATGATCTATAAAAATATACAGATTGGGGTGTTTGTCCTATCTTAACATTTTTATCATATCTAGATTCTAATGACGATCTATACATGAGTAACAAGAAGCCATTACCCTATATCGTTCCGTTTGGATTTCATGCGATTCGCTTAGATTTGTATTTAGGTTTTAATATAAAACTGAGACATATCCATCAAATACGATATTAAAATTGAATCCAATGACACATGGAACAGTTGTCGAGACCAGGAACCGACAGTAAGCAACCGTGGACAGGCATACGATCTTTGACAGAAATTCTATATCATCAGTGACAGAAAATAAATATATTGTACCGATTAACTAGTAACTTTGGTTATCGAATTGTTGGAGTGATAACATAAGGTGTTTTTTCTCATAACTTGCTAGACGATTTTTCTCAAAGAGAGGTTAACCTCTATCAGTTAATGTAGGCAACATTATTTTACCTATTTTCATTTGTGATTTATCTATTAAGAAGATGCATATCGAAGAAACAAACGAAAACTGAGGGAATCGCATAAACTCAAAAAATGTGCTAGACAGGTTAAGTGTCTGCTGCTATGTATGAAGTACCTGCCATGCGAGAATGCATCCTCAGTCAACTTGTCACAATCTAGAACAGGTCTACAACACAATCAGTACAACTACAGATCAGACGATTATATGCTCTATCTAAAAAGTAAAACAGCTACATGACAAATGTTCTAATATATCGTATTAGCTTAAAACAAACCTATTGACTGAGATAATAACTATGTTTTACTCAAGAATGGGAAAATAACATGAAAACGTAAATCTTCGAGTTTGTAATTGAGTTTTATTAAAACTTGTCCGTAAGAGTCAATTAAAAAATACACTAGTATATAGACAGAAAACATATATGTGTGTGCTTGTTCAAACTTTTATCTGAACGTTACTATTCTTTTGACAACAAATTACCGTAACGGATATTTTGAGAACAGTAGTACTTAGAATATTCAATGGTTTCTGGCTAATGGTACAAATATAAATTGACACTTAATTTTGTTTAATACATATAGAATAATGGCATTTTTGTTTGTGATACAGACTTTATCAGCAAGAATATCAAGTGAGTCTGCCAGGGCAAGCTGGTATTCGAGCTGATGAAGTCAGTATCAAAAAATAAAATGCCAATATTTATCGGCAATTTATCTTAACTGTATGTTTTTTGGGGTTGAGAATATGAAGTAAAATGAAATAGTAAGTAAAACTACTTTTACGCATACAAAAACGTTTGGATGGTTGTTCGGTTGTATGAATAAAGTCGCGTGCATTTCTTTGATAAATTGACGCAGATGGACTTGAGCATGTAATGTTGCTGCACTGATACATGACGTCATTGCCTAATATTTAGTATCAATTCCTGTCCATGATCTTAAAAATATTAGGCAGTAAGATCAAAGGGAAAATGTACAAATTGCCGATAAAAAAAGATATACGAAGTAAATGAACACATGGTTGCAGTAAATAATTCCTACATATAAGCATGATAAGGTAGGGATTATTGTATCACATTAACATTTAAGACTTGACTATTTTTGTTTTTAGCTTGTCGTGTTGGATTTACTTCAAAAGCAGGACTTGACTGTACTCCATGTCCCCAAGACCATTTTGGATTCAGATGCGCTGAAATTTGCGAATGTGACCACAATAAAAGGTTGCACTTTTGCTATTTTGTTTGCATGGAATTTACTTCGTAGTAACTCGCACTTAGAATAGCGAATTGTGAACGGAAAATATGCCATGTCAACGACTTTAATTCGATAAAAGAGTCACTCATTTTAAGCCTATCAATTCATGTTATGAATTTTTGTATGATTTTAAAACAAAGATGTTTAACAACTTCAAAAATTCAAGAGATTTATTAAGTATTAACAATGAAAACAAAATCTTAATAAACACGAACGGCAGTTAACAAAACGAAAAATTTAAAGTAAACAACGAACTAGCACCGGATAACGTATCTAATAAATCACACAATACCTGTCAATTTAAACCGTACCGGATAACACTGAAAACTTTAAGTAGTAAGTAATGAAGTAGAAATCGAAGGAAATAACATTTTAACTTTTAGACTTCAAAATGGTGTGATATCTTTTTAGATATAAAGCCATTAGATAAAAATGTGGTCATGTTTGACATCCCCTTTAAATTATTACTCACCATCCTACATGACAGAGATATTTCGGATTTTGAAAAAAATATTCATTTATTTCTGTGTATTTCCTTTGTATAATACATGGCTTTATGCACTTAAAAAAGAAATATCCTTTTTTGTAGCAGTCGAATGGTCTTTACTTACTGATATATTTTAGTCTGCACTTTACCCAATATTTCAAATATGTATATTTTCAGGAAAGAAGTAGGTTAAATTTCCCTTGTATTTTCTTCACTCATAAGGTCAAATTCTAAAGGTATTTAAAGCCTACTGGAAATAAAATATCATATATATTAAATATTTTTTCAACAATTTTACGACCAATAAAATATTTTTATACAGAGTTAAGGCACATAAATATATCAAATGGTAAAAACAAATACAAAAAGATGTTCAATGCCTATCGAGTCGGCCACCATCTGTATATTGGCTACTCTGTTCGTGATTAGACCAATCAATACGTTTAAAACAGAGATAATTTAAATAAGAAATAATTCTTGTTATATAGAAATTTCCCCTATAGGTTGATAAGATTTTATTTAAAAGATACAGATACACTGTGCTAAAATTACCATACAAGGTCAACATACGATAGTAAATAATGTTTGGTCGGTTTACTTTATTTCAAGTTCGAAATTTGCTTCAGTGAAATAATAATATCAGGATAAAAGAAACACGCCACCAACCCTTCCCAAGAAAAAGGACTATAAATGAATACACACAGTGACTAAAATTCCAAGGTATTCAATCTGCTAAACTATACAAAACAAATATAATTAATAAAATTAAAATTAAAAAAACAAGTATCAGCGTAATATTGTCTGTCTGTTTTGTACGATATACGCCCAAATATTTCAATTTATTTATTTCTTCTTTTCAATAGGTGTGACAACGTGCATGGATGTGTCCCTAAACATTATTTAGACAATCTTTCGACTCAGAATAGTTTCTACAGGAAGAAGCGAACACAGAGTGGTATGTAAACTACGTCTAAGCTGTAATGAAAGTTTCTATTCTATTAAAACTGATAAGTTCTTGTTAATGGACTATGCCCATCATTCCTAATATACGGTTGAAATGCTTTTTTCTTTACTTAATTGCCAGGTGTTCGATCAAGCTGGATTTCCTGTTAAATCTTTAAAAATGAACCAATAAAAATTCGTGTATTGAAGCCTTAAATCCGCCTAATCAACTGTCCATGGTATATTGCAATCGTGGCGTAAGACAGCTTGTGAATTATAAGAAATGGGAGTTCGCTTTCACTAACAAATTACATGCTTAAATAAACGCTACAACAGTAGTGGACTAATGTAAAAATGTTTAACAGAGTATAAGACAATATTTAACAGGGTGAAAAAAATAACAAATTTTCACTTTTACAATGAAAGTTAGCTCAGTCTTCGGTTTCATTTAAGTCGACTAACAACGTGGAAGATAGTTATTTAGTTATTATAGAACGAAATGGTACTCTCAAACTTTCTGAAATGTGTTCGGCCACTTTATCAATAACGTTTGACGGTTTTCTCTATTACATGTATTATTAAACATATCAAATAAAGTAAAGATTGCCAACGGATACAATTATAAAATCTGGTGATTCAAAAACATATTCATCAAAGGCAAAGACTATAATGATATTTCGTAGAAAGATCTTGAATTATACAACATTTACAATTTGACAGAAAAACATATTTAGATATTTAAATCACACATTTGAAAAATTTTAAAGAGAAATATTGCGACAATAGTCCATAGATGTTAATAAGATCAAACTGCGACGTAATTTAATAGTATATGTTATCACTTTGACTTCAATTTTTCTCTAAGTGAATTGGAATTTCAAGGGATAGATGTCTTATACGCATCTACCTTATATAATCCTATTACATTACGAGGGTCTATTGCAGTAATGAGAATATATTCTCAACTGAGCAGTTTTTTAAATGTGATTCATCCATAATGTCGTTTAGCCGCACACAATATATAATAAGAAGATGTGGTATGATTGCCAATAAAACAACTCTCTACCAGAGTTCACATGACGTAAGCAACTATATGTCACCGTATGACCTTCACCAATAAGCTATATGCATACCGCACAGCAAGCTATAAAAGGTCCCGAAATGACAAACGTAAAATAATTCAAACTAGAAAATTAACGGTCTGATTTATGTACAAAACAACAAACGAAAACTAATATGAAATACAGCAACAAACGACAACCGCTTATTACATGCTCTTGACTTGGGACAGGCACATTCACAATGTGGCGGGGTTAAACATTTGCGAGGGTGCCCAAACCTCCCTCAACCTGGGACACAGATAAACACACAACATACAACCAAACTATAAAAAACAGTTAAAAAGGGCTTTTTTTTATGTCAAAAGCCTGTAGTTCAGTAGTTGTCGTTGTTTCATGTCTGTCATATTTGTTTTACGCAAATTGTTTTGTTATAAATTAGGACTTTAGTTTTCTCAATTGAATTGTTTCATATTTTTCATGTCGGGGCCTTTTATAGCCGACTATACGGTATGGGTTTTCTCATTGCTGAAAGCCGTACGGCTGCCTATAATTGCTTACATCCACTTCATTTGAACTTTGGTGAATAGTAGTCGCATTGGCAATCATACCATATCTTCTTTTTTTATATTAACTCATCAGATCGATACGAAGCACAAAAACAACTAACACAACACAAAACACACAAAGTGCAGATCTGAATGTACTCGCAGTTACTGAAAGCTAGTTTGTAGCAAATAACAACTACTAGTAATAAAAAATTATATAAGACTTAAATAGGAATCATTGCACATCCAGCAACAAATGGATTTTGTGTAAAGATGTCATAAACAGTCAGAGAAAAACATGACCTTTTGCAATGCCAAAAAATAGGTATCGACAGATTGTAGAACCATGAGTGTTTTTAGCAATAGCATTTGTTAGGTGTTAATTTATTGATAACAAAATCAATATTTATAACTTTTCAGAATTAGTTTATTTAACGGATCGATAAGTTTACCGGGGTCGTATCTAAATTTAAGGGCTCGTTTGTAATATGTTTTCTACAGGTACAGCCAAACTTCAAAACCACATCGTTGTATCTATGAAAGAATTAAGTACAGGTTTTAAGTAATTTGTAGGAACGAAATCCTTGACTTACTAGTTTACCAGTTATACATAGACTACGCTCATTAAAATCCAAAACGTCGATTCCAACAAGGACATAGCGAACGCGTTGGGATATATTAACATCGTTTGTTTTGGCCAAATGACCGTCAAAAAGAAAAATTAATAATAAAGAACGAAAAACCGTCACTTTTGCCGTTAATTTGTGTGCAGAGTTTCCCATGTACAACTGAAATATCTAAATCAAGAAAAGGACAGTTATTGATGTTTATATTTGTTTATATTTGTTTCTTTTTCGCAATTTCTCTTCCCTGTAATAACATGACCAACGGGATCATGTCTAAAATTTGATGATTCACAGTATGAAGTTGAAGGAACATTATTTTCTATACTGAAGTCTGATGAAACTGATGCGTAATAAAAAGTTAAACTTCTATACTGGGTTGGTTGTTTGTTTGTTCACGAAATAAAAGGTGGAGTTTTTTTTTTATTAAAAAAGTGAGTTATAAAGTTTTGAATGATAGAGTCATTAAATATACTAGATAAGTTGAAAAAATCCATACCTCTGTTAATCGATACATGGGATCAGCCTATGGTGATAACAAAAATGGAATTAAACGCGTACATTCATAGAGTGGGCTGAAAACGAAATTGCGTCACGTCTTAAAACATTCCAAATGTAATTTGTTGTCGATGAAGCTGTGTTGCTTTTTAGAAAAAGGTAAATTCATACTCTAGAGACTGTACATTGGGAAATAAGTTCAGGTTTTAAGCATTTCCAGATGTATTGTTTAGTTGTTTAACAACATTGCTATTTCAAAATGGTTATAAGGAAGTACATGTACGTCTGAAATTGTAACACAACAACTTTAATGGAAATAATAACGAGGTTTTTTTTTTATACATTACACCCTCTGAATGTCTCAGATTATAAGATTTTTTTTTCTTTGGACATGGTGAAGATTCCATCGCATCCACTAGTCCAGAGCAAATATGTGTTGTTCTCGTTAATGATAAGTTTAAAAATATGACTCTGACATAAAATAATTACGGAATAAACATGAACGTATATTATGAAATGCGTATTGTGTCAGTGTTCGTGGTCTTGCTCCGTACGGAAATTGCATTTACCTTTTTAACAATAACATTTACATAAAGATGATTTTACTTTTCAAGATTCGATTACCGCTGAAACAACAAAATCCCATTTGACTACTGATGTTACACACACAAGAACAAGTAATAAACTACATAGAAGTGTATCAACATCACCTAAATCCATAGAAGACAGGGACAATGGTAAGAGTATTGTGCCGTTCATCAATGTTAAAATTGCATTATTTATTACAATACTAGCGCAAATGATATATTGAAACTAATGCTGACAAATGTTTACGCGTAAAGACCTCATATATTATGGAAGGGAATATCCGCCATAATTATACATTTCTTAATTTGTTAAATGCAATTTCTTATTTTGTAAAATGTAATTTTTTTAAAATTTGTAACATGTAGTTTTTACATCCGTTACATGAATTTCTACATTTCTTGAATTGTGAAATGTAACTTCTTAATGTGTAAATGCAATTTCTTAATTTGTTAACTTATTTTCTTCGTTCGTTACTTGAAACTCTACATTTCTTAATTTGTGAAATGTAATTTCTTTGTTTGAGTCACGTTTTGGGAAAATGTGTCAGTGTAATTGTTACCACTGCCAGGCAATGAGAAGTTCCGTTTCTTAAGAAAAACTACAAGTTAAAAATCAACAAGTTACAAATCAAGACGTTTTACATATCAAGAAGTTTTACAAATCAAGAATGAAATAGTTCCACAATATTCCGCACGAGGTCGCTGTTGATCCATGTCAACTCGTACCTTAGCCAACTCGTACTCAACCAACTCATATTTCTTTCAACTCGTACCCAATATTTTATTATTTATATGCATTAGAGTTATTATGTTCTTTTATATAATATAAAAACAAACAAATACAATAAAGTACAACTCTATTGATTGGTAATCTGATGCAATTTGTTTTCAAATCAGAAATATTTAAAGTTAATCATTCGTATTAGACAATCAGCTCTATATTGATGGCACTGTATTCGACGAATTTAGAACAGAGCGTACCAGCTCTTCGGCAACAAATTATGATACGACCACAAAAAGGTCTTACTCTAGTGCTACCCCACCTAGCAAAAGATAGCGACAGGGACCGTCCCCTCGTCCACCGAATGCAATTGCTCCAGCGACTTCTGGCAGATAGGGGGTTTGGTGCAAGAGGCCTATATCTAAAAAGAAATCGACCAGTAATGGAATTGTAAATAGTGAATATAATTTAACAACGATAGCTTAAAGTTTTGTTTCTTAAATGTTTGTGGGTTGAAGAAAAAACAACTGTCTCCAGATTTCATTGACATTTTGCTTGGACATGATATATCTGTATTTTTTGTTGAAACGATCTTAACTGGCTTAGATAATTTAAACCTACCAGACGATTGTATCTATGTTTTTGGACTATTTTTAATTCCTGTGCTGGCTTTATCGCTGCAAAAAGATTAGAAATGCCTTCTTATATAAACTAACTAGCAGATCTTCTTGACTGAGTGACCTCTTGTTACTGAAACTGTGTGATGCACCTGATCATACAACGAACGAATACTCTGATTGATAGTAGTGACAGGCTTGGTGACTGACTGAGTCAGTTGCCTGGAACTCTGAATATGAAACTCTGGTGCAAACTAACTACTGAGAGTCTGGAATACGCGATGAATAATTAATACTTCAGCATGGAATACTTTTGTTACAGATGGACTGTGTTCAGTGCAAAGTCCTGAATCCGAATCTCTTTCATAAAAATTATCAACAAGTATTTATACAAAATGAAGTAGACAAGAATAAACATAACAAACAACTCTCAATTTGAGTGATATTGTTCACTGTCAAGGATTAAACTATTTTTAGAACTTGAAGAATAAAGTTAAATTACTAATCTCATTATGATATTTAAAAACATATAATTATGAAAAAGGTAAATTGTCACTAATTAGTTAACAGAGTAAAACATGTCACTCAATGTCCAAACTGAATTTAAGTCCTGGATATGAAATGTAAATAGAAACGAACATATAAAATAAAATGAATTATAAAACACATAGAATTAAAGTATAAAATATCAAAATTGAGAATTTTATATTAAAGTCCTAAATAATAAATAAAGCTGCTTTTTCCCTGGTCACAATATATTTTCAACGCAAAAATTAGTAAACAAAAGCTTCATAGAATATGAAGAAAGATATGTTTTACTGATTTTTGCGTTGAACATGTGTTCAAGAAGATTTTTCTAGTTATATATGAAGGTCTTTTATATCTTTTTGAAGCGATAAAGCCAGCACAGGAATTAAACATAGTCCAAACGTTTTTACATATACAGTTATTTAGATACTATAACAGATATGTCAAGCTTGGTTTTTACAAAGTTGATAAGTAAAACTCAACGGAATTTGGTGAAGCATTTATTCCGAAACCTGTGTTTTCATAAACCCTTCTATGTTTATTTTTCATTTAAACAACCCCATTCTATTTTTGTAGGTCCGAGCCTATTTTCCACCTATCGGGCGCGGATCCAACCATTTTAAAAAGGGGACAAACACATGTATACAAGTCATATAAAAAGGTCATTCAAATAGGGGTTTCAACGAAGGAAATACGTTAACAAATTAAGAAATTGCATTTACACATTAAGAAGTTACATTTCACAAATCAAGAAATGTAGAAATTCGTAAAAAAATACATGTTACAAATTAAGAAATTACATGTAACAAATTAAGAGATTGCTTGTTACAAATTAAGAAATTGCATTTTACAAATTAAGAAATGTATAATTATGGCGGATATTCCCTTCCATGATATATGTCCATCATTAAGGTTCAAAGTCGGATGACACTTGCCAGTCAAGAAATGGGTAACTTGTACACTAAACCAAAAGACGGAAATAAGTTGACTCGTAACTTCATGATATTTAATAACTATTTAAGTTTATATAACATTCCACCATGTCTGTCCGGTGGCAATTCATAATTGTTATATGTTCGTTACATTTTAAGTGTCTTTCAGTGTTAAGCGTTGAAAAAACCCATAAGTTTGTGTTGTTTCAAAATGATTTAGCATCAGATGCACCAAATTTTTAAAGGATTCATTCCATTTACTAATAGGTAATAATTGGTGGTAGGTTTCTCGTATCAGCAACGCAATTTAAATGATGCGGATTTCAATAAAACCTCGAATAAAATCTTCGTAACTAAATACTTTAATTGTTAATGCAATGATTGTTTGTGTCCTATGCGTCAGCAATGCTTCAAGAAAAACGGAAATGAAAAAGAATGCAATATAGAACGTTATAAAAACGCTGAAAATAACTCAAATAACAATTAAAGTATACAAATTACAAAAAGATTTTTTTTTGTATTTTGTTCAACTTTTACAGGCTTCATTGACCAGAAAATACTAACTTACATGTTCATGGCTGTAGCTGGGGCTCTTCTGGTGATTATAGGACTGTGTCTGTGTCTTGTTTGCGTTTGTTGGAAGCGTCATGTGTCATCAAAAAAGAAGAACATTGCTGCTGTAAGTTCTGCTGTTCCGCTTACTCAATTTCCTATCATTCAGGAAAATGTTTCAGTTTCTGAAATTACCAATGGATACGAATATGAGGTAATTGATGACTCAAAACTAGAACGAGAAATACCAGTTATTCAGGTAATTGATGACACAAAACTAGAACGAGAAATACCAGTTATTCAACACGATTATATTAGCGTTGAAAGTTCAAATAATAATTCAGAGGTTTGTGGAACAGACAGTGATGGGTATTTACACCCATATCATTCTTTAGTTTCTGAAAACAGTATTTCATCCAATGGTGTTGATGATAAAAATAATGAAAACATATATGAAGAAAAGCCTTACTTATCTGTAGAAAAGGAATGCAAAAATGAAGTGCAGCAGAATGAAAATTGTGAATTGGTAAACAATGAAACAGTCGATAAAAAGGAAGATGAGATCATGTATGACGTACCCAAAAAATACCAAATCTAGTGGTGACAAAGTCATTTTCATGTAAAACAATGTTACTACTTAATCATAATTTACTTGACTTTTGCTTGAATTCTATAAAAAAAATATATACCAACTAAATTGTATGATTGACTCTTAAATGAATGATGGATTCTGGGGATTTAATCAATATCCAGTGAACATTCCACTTTAAGTATTGTTGTTTATTTCCCAATTAATATGAAAGAGCTTCAAGGGAACTTTGGCATATTCTTTGTATTCTGCGTGATCATAAATGTCTAAATCCAATGCAAAAACAAATTTCATAAGGATAATTAAATTTTACATGTAAAGATATTAGAAATGTCTATCTTATATAAGCCGCCTCGGTGGTATCATGGTAGCGCGTTGTGCAGGAGGTCGTTGGTTCGAACCCCGGTCGAGTCGAGCCAAAGACTTTAAAAAAGTACTATCAAAAATACCGAACATCAAGATAAATTCAAAAACGCGGAAATCCATAAAACCTGATAAAATCAAACGTTAGACTTTATCAACCAATAGAACGAATGGAAAACAACTGTGATATTCCTGACTTGATACAGGCATTTTCCGAGAAAAAAAAAATGTTGGGTTAAACCTGGTTTTATAGCTAGTAGTTAAACTTCTCACTTGTATAACAGTTGTTTGTTGTTCAGTTGTATCGACAGAATTGGGTGAGAAACCTGAAAAGATATAATTGGTTAATGAGAAAATAATTGGGATTAAGCAGGCAAAAAAGTGTAAACATACATCACAGACAACACAACTGACCAAAAAATCCAAACAAACATATATACCAATAAATCTGACAAAGACGCCAACAAAAAAGTTATTGAAGTTGATTGAAAATCTGACAGAGCCGCCTATACAAAACAGGTATTAATTGAGGTCTGGAGCTGGCATGTCAGTGACTGCTAGTAGTCCTTTATTAATTTATGTATCATTGTCGTTTTGCTTAGTTTCTTTTGTTACCTATTCTGACATCGGACTCGGACTTCTTTTAAACTGTGTTTTACTGTGCGTATTGCTATGTGTTTCTTTATTCTACATTGGCTAGAGGTATAGGGGGAGGGTTGATATCTCACAAAACATGTTTAACCCCGCCGCATTTTTGCGCCTGTCACAAGTCAGGAGCCTCTGGCCTTTGTTAGTCTTGTGTTTTTTTTTTAATTTTAGTTCCTTTATATGTTTTGGAGTTTAGTGTGACGTCCATTTTCACTGAACCAGTACACAATTTTATTTAGGGGCCAGCTGAGGACCACCTCCGGATGCGGGATTTTCTCGCTGTGTTGAAGACCCATTGGTGGCCTTCGGCTGTTGTCTGCTCTATGGTCGGGTTGTTGTCTCTTTGACATATTCCCCATTTCCATTCTCAATTTTATTTGTATTTGATAGTACATAAAACGTAATGCCCTACTAGTATACACTTTCCCGATAAAGTACAAATTAAGTATAATATAAATACAAGGGTAAACAAAATGAAAACAACACTGTAACATCTTTCGTCCGAATCGCACCTCTGGATCCACCTGCACCAGGAACGCCAAACGCCAAAAACCCGATAGCTGGATGCATAAAAAGCAACTAATGTCAAGAGTCGTATGAACAAAAGAATCGTTATAGCTTAAAGACAAATGAAGGGAAAGCTGTAGATTCAGAGATTAATGCGAGGTTTTTATTAATGCGAAAATTGCGCAATAATAAGAACTGAGTCTCGCATTCTGATATTCGATACATATATATAACTGTATGCAGATTTTATTGAAATTACAATTATTAATCTCTCATTTATGTTTTTTTCATAAAAAATCGCAATAATAAATGCATGCAATAATTTTTAATTTACAGCAGTAAATACAAAAATACACAACTTATAACTCAAGACTATTTGGTATTATTATGTTCTTTGGCAAAACCCTAGCTCATTAATTATTTGCTCAGACATTGATTGGTCTTTGCTGCTGCTTTTCCGCTAAGCACGCGACATTAACGAGTAAGAGCAGAGACTGATCGGCTCGAAGTCAGGATAATGTGTCAGGGTAGGGTGACATGTCTTCCGGTGGACTGTTACCTTCTGAACTAGCACGTGAAAAGTCCCGCTCAGCGTGTCCGTCCAGTAGCAGGGTTCATATTCATATCGCACTTATATGTTCTCGTCCTGAATTGGCATTTGATTTACCACTGGACGTTATATACCCATCAGTCCATCTATCTATGGTACATCGTGATGGGATAAATCTGCTCAATATATCATGTTTCTCTATAATGTTAGGTCTCACCATCTAACAATGTAAATGCGGCAAAATATACTGCCCATGCAGGTGTACAGCTGATTTGTTATGTGATAACCATTATAACCTATTTTTGTTAATATCAACATAAATTTAAGATATTTCCCGAAGGGGGGACCTGCTGGGTATAGAAATATGGATACCTGAACTTCCCTGCGTAAAGTCCTGCTGAGCTGGCGTCCATTTGCCTGTACTGTATCAGCGGGATGTTTCAAAACGCAGTCACGTCAAGCTGGAATGGTGCCGCTTAATTCAAATCCTCTTGTAGAAAGAGTGTCAGAATAATAACCCATTGCAACATTCTTAGAGAAGCTTGAAGGTTGCAAGCTGAATATTTGAAAGGCAAATAACTGTCCTTTTCAAACATACCCTCTTTTTGTTGCCTGGTCTTCTACCATAACGAAGGTCGTACGTTTGGGTGTACGGGATGTATAAATACGCATCCACGTCCAGATGGACTGGGAACTTTCATGCTGAAGGCGTGTGTAAGGAGAGTGTAATGCACTGTGTACTTCTTTGCAATAAGGAGGGATCTGAAGATGTAGAGCAAAATTTCTGTTTCCAATTCAACATACCGACTTTCCTTCAGTTGCAGTTTACATTTCCCGCTTTTCTCAAGATAAAAGACTAATTGTTTGATCTGTAAATTTACCGATCGTTTTCTATTCTTTATAGTTACAATACAAGTGAAACCTCACGTGACAGGTGACGCATGAAAAGCTCGAGCTACCCCTTTCAACGCGACAGGTGTCGTTTCATTTTGATGAAGATGTGGTTTGATTGTCAATGAGACAACTCTCTACAAGAGACCAAAAGCGACGAAATAATATGCAACTAAAAGTTATCGTACGGCCTTCAATAATGAGCAAAACCCATACCGCACAGCCAGCTATAAAAGGCCCCGAAATAACAAAAGTAAAACAATTTAAACGAGAAAACTAACGGCCTGATTTGTGAACAAAACATCAAACGAAAAACAAATATGATATGCAGCAATAAACGACAACCATAGAAAAACAGGCTCCTCACTTGGGACAGGCACATACAGAATGTGGTGGAGTTAAACATGTTTGCGGACACCCAACCCTCCCCCATTCAAATGTAACCTGGAACACAGTATTGTTTTATTATGATTTGTTATTCAAAATGTATAGGAGTTTTGAACATTGATAACCTACTGTTGCCTGTGAATTTTATTTGAAGATCAACCAACTTTGTAAGACCTACCTTTTGGATTTATTGTTAATTTGTTCTCATCCTGAATATGCATGAAATATTTGCCACTGAACTTAAAGCAAACAAAAAATCTGTATGTTTAATATAGCTTATTCTAATATAGTCTACTTCTCTTCAAGTCACAGACTTCCACTTAACAGGCATAAAAACAAAACGCCAGAGTTAATGTTAAAATTACGATTCGGTCCCAGTGCTTAAAAACCCAACGATCCTTTATTGGTTGATTTGGCATACATAAATAAAATAAGCAATGAACGGGGTTGTTAAATGTGATATATGCTTTTTTGTGCTTCTATACAAGTGAGAGGTTTAGCGCTATAAAACCAGGTTCAATCCACCATTTTCTACATAAGAAAATGCCTGTACCAAGTCAGGAATATGACAGTTGTCCATTCGTTTCATGTGTTTGTGCTTTTGATTTTGCTATTTGATTAGGGACTTTCCGTTTTGAATTTTCCTCGGAGTTCAGTATTTTTGTGACTTAACTTTTCATTGATTTCTCTAGGACTATTTTCAAGGAACTCTCACAAATTATCAATAAAGCGAGCTCTGCTTGAAATGTAGAATAATAGAACAATTAGAAATTAGTACACAACTAATTTTTTATGCTTGTGCCTTTTTCTGAAACTGTCAATGCAAAAGTGGATGTGCAGACTTTCTTCATCTCGTAGAATATATCAGTAGAAAACTCTGATTTGCTCTGCATGTTATTATAAACATTACCGGTGAATAAAAAAGAAAGGGTTGCTTGATATCACTCAGTCAAAGGCGTGAATTTATGAAATCTAAATGAATTTTTGTTTTAGATTTTAAAAATGTGATAAACTTTTTAGGGGGTGTTAAATACAACATTTATTTTAATCTGAAAGCAGAGGTGTGCCTTTGAAAGGCAGGATCTTCATACAAGACAAGAAGGCATTATGAATTTACTACTGACTTTTAACACATTTGGACAAGCCACCCTAAGAAGAAATTATTCCACAGTGTAGAGAAGTGTTCAGATCACATGTTGAACTGCTTTTTAGTTTGGAATTACGAAGGGAAATAACTAGGATTTTAAAACAATCTACTGAACGCTAAAAACAAGGTGTTTTTCCACGATTTTCAACATTATTTTTTTTATTAAATACTAAAATTCCAGGCTTTTTTCTAGATTCTAAGGTGAGGTATAGTCAATCCTGGCACCTCAGATTCTCTTTGCGCCAATTTTCTTTTTCATTGCGCATTATATGTTGTCTATATTTTTGACACCAACTTTTGCCCGTGTAATTTGTGCAAAGCTTCTCCTGATATTCTGTTTGGAACGTTAACTGAATATGAAATTAATACTGTTTTGCTTATATTTTGAGTTTTTTACAATTTGTTTTACAGAGACTAATTTAAAAACAAGAGAGCACAAGAGTGTCTCGGCTGCTTTACTTATGATTGAATTTATATTTAGTCTGTAATATGAAGGTTTTGCATGTCTACAAATGTAAGTATCACATAAACTTAACATTATGAATGATCCATGAAAATGAGATCATGGTAAGATTAACCAGACAAACATGAACATCTTGCAATCATTCCATACACCAAATATAGTGGTGCTATTGCTTATAGTACCTGGAAAACAGACCAAACCACAAAATCTGAACATTGACCAATGAACCGTGAAAACGGGGTCAAGGTCATATGAACCCTGCCAGACAGACATGAACACCTTACATTCATTTCATACACCAAATAAAGTTGACCTATTATAGTATATAATAAACTGACAAAACCACGAAAAACTTAACATTGACTAATGAACCTTAGATATGAGTTCAAGGTCATATGAACTCTGCCAGAAAGACATGTACACCTTATAATCATTCCATACACCAAATATAATTGACATATTGCTTATTGTATCTGATAAAATGACAAAACCATGAAAAAATTTACATGACAATGAACCATGAAGTATGAGGTCAAGGTCCTATGAAACTTACCAGTCAGACATGTTCACCCTACATGCATTCCATACACAAAATATAGTGGCCCTATTGCCTATAGTATCTGAGAAAAAGTCAAAACAACAAAAAGTAAGCATTGCCCACTGAACCATGAAAATGAATACAAGGTCAGATGAAATATGTCAGTCTGACATGTACACCTTACAATCATTCCATACAACAAATAAAGTTGACCTACATGTATTGCTTATACAGTATCTGAGATACAGACTTCACCTTGATCACTGATCCATAAAATGAAGTTGAGGTCAGGTGAACCCTGTCTGACAGCCATAAATATTTGCAAGGAAGCAATATTCCAAATATAGTTATCCCATTACTCATTATAATTAGTATTTTAACATGGCAAATAAGCAACATTTTTTTTTCAAGCAATCACTGAAACATGAAAATGAGGTCAAGGACAATGGACAAATGACAGAAGGAAAATTCGTAACATAAGGTATATGCATACAAGATATGAAGCATCCAGGTATTCTACCCTCTGAAATATAAAGCTTTATATACAAATAGTTTATGCCATCGCCACCACTGCCACAGGATTGTAATCCTTATGTCAAGCATTCTGGCAGGCGAGACAAAAATAATGAAATAAATATTACTCTTCATCAATTTTATTGTAAATAGAAATGCATCACAATTTCATATTGTGGGCAAGTAGATAAATATATAAACAGAGACAGTGGCTTGTTAACTAAACTGGTAAACAATGGTATACAATTCAATCTTGGAGGATACAAAAAAATAGTTCTAATCACTTGTTTGTGCAGGTACAAACAAAACAATAAAGGGACATGAAAAATTGAATGGACCATAATGTCAGAATGTTCATGCAAATACCCTAGTCCATTTTGTTTAATACATTTCAAGGTATCTGTATAAGTTTTGGGTATTATGTGTGGACTTGTTTAGGTGCCTACTTATGATTTTTTAATAGTTTGTTTAATAACTGGACAAATAAAAATCAACAACATTAGTGTAATAGGGTAATAACAAATATTTGTTACAATTCATTAAAAAAAATCAAGAGTATAGTTTATATAAGAATAATATATTGTAATGATTGTCTTGTGGTTTTAACCATACAAAAAAATAAAATCTAGATAATACTTTCATTTTCAAGATATTTTTTTCTGATATTTAAGATAAAACAGAGTAAAGGGAATGGAAAGGCCTGGGCATACTTCATCAAACTTATTCAGATATAACTTTGGATACAATTCATAATAAAACATTAAAACACTACTCCAAAATGGACATAAACCTATAGCTACGTACTCTTTCCCAATCTATTAAGAACTTTATAAAATAGCTTTATTTGAAAAAAAAATATATGAAAAACCTCAATCAATTCTGAATATAGCCTAATTCACTTGAACGGTAGTAGAATTTATGTCTTATTCATAAATGTGTAATTATAGAAGTTATTTATTGTAAAAAAAAATAACATTTTTTTAAGAATCTAAGGCATGAAAAATTTCCAATTTTTAAAGAAACCTGTGACACTTAGTGTAAAATAGAATTATGAAAAATAAAAACTTGAATACCCTTTTTAGAAGTTAACCTAATGGTCTTTATAGATTTAGATAAGATTCCTATAATTGATCATTTATTAAATATATTGATTTAAATGCACATTCCTCAAAAACTTACAAGTAAAAAAAAAATATTAAGCCCTAAAAAGCAGTGACTTCAGCAGCAAAATCTCTGTGTTGCAGGAAGTGAATACTATGATCATAAATATATATAAAGTTGGCACACATGAGGAAAATATTGCATAACATTATCACATATAAAATAATATACTAACAGTATACATAAACTCTGAAATATGTACATATATACATGAATAAATACTATACAAAACAGTAAAATAAGATAAAACTGAGTATAAAACAGGAGTGTTGCCTGCCTTCTCCAAATTCTACAAGCAGATATAGCAAAGTCCATGCTTTGGTATAGGAAACCCCAAAAATTTACCATATCAAAAATTAAAATAACAGATGCAAAAGTCATTTCCAATAAAATAATCTATGCAAGTTAATTTAAATTCTGTCAATCCATTTTTTTAAGGAGTTGTGGATTAAGCAGAAATGGCCAAGTCCATGTTTTGGTAAAATTGTGAAAGCCCAAAATATCACTCAGATCAAAAATCAAAATAGCCAGTGCACAAATTCATGTCCTGCAGAAGGGATCTGTGAAAGTTTGGGAGAAATCTGTAGTGATGTTTTAAAAAGTCACTGGTTAACAAAGAGTGACATGGACAAGGCAAGACAAAAGAAGTAATCCTTATATCATGTATAAAACGCTACAGCATCCCCGTCAGGCCACATAATAACTTGAACAAAATTGTATATCATAATTTTTATCACATATTTTTTATTCATTTGATTGACACAAAATGGACGGAATTATTCAAAATGGTAATAAAACTTTTATTCATATTCTCGACATATGAATTGAAAACTTGGGATCTTTTGATGCTAGAATGTGCAGTGGCCTTTAGCTTGTGCAGTGAACAGACTACTAACAATTTAAAAAAAATTATGTAAACTTGCACTTCTTTTCACTACAGTCACCTGTCCTGTATGTGTAAATTCAAAAAGATAAAGCTAGATCCCAAATTTACTTAGAGCCTCATGATTCAAAGTTCAAATTTTCATTAAAAAAGACACTCAATTATGCTACAAAAATAATAACAGAATAGACTTTTTTCAAAAATATACTTTATAAAAAGTTTCAACAGACTAACCTCTTATACTATCAAATTCCATGGGAGGCCTTATATACTGAAAATAGCCTCTTATCTAACAAATTGGCTGCTGTCATATCATACAGAAAATCATGTAAATCATTTGTAAAAGCAGCAAATATTGGATTTGTTTTCAATAAGCATTCTATTAACAAAAATTTCTACATTTAAAATTAGTCAATGTAATAACTTTATGAAAGTATAATGTTGGGTCATATCCCTGCTGTCTAGAAAGGGTAACAGGAATATAATCATGATTATCACAGTAAAATGGAAAAAAAAAACAACTATCAAATGCAAATTGAGGTAACTAATTCTAAAAAGTCTCTGAAAGTAACTATAATATAAATGTCTGAATGGTATAAATTTTAAGCAGCAGTGCTTTTGTGCATTTTAAAGAGGTAATAGAATTTAAGTAAGTAATACACACCCACATTTTTTTTACTTCATACATGTATAAAGTTCAAGATTATCATTCTGTGCATAACATGGCTAGTACATATAAAAATAACATTATAGTAGTTCTATAGCATTTTTGAACATGTAACAAAATGAAATTCAGTTACATTATATTTATGATTTTTTCATTTGTGCAAATAAAAATCAAATTACAATAAAACAAATCTAAAAAAAATAATTTTCATATTAAATATTGTTTCTTTTATACAAAAGACCAATAATTATGACACAGCCTGCTGTTTATTAGTAAAAGATTTAAGACTATTGGTCATCATTTCAGGATCCATTCCTGACCCAAAAGGATCGTCTTTGTCAAATTTCACTTTGGGAAAATCTGGTTGAGGTGGGTCCACAATTTGGGACCATTTTAAAGTCTGATAATCTGAAGGTCCTCCTTTGTCTATTTTCTTGATCTTTGTTTTCTCATGTCTTAACCTGAAAGACAGAAAATTCAAAATGTATATGCAAATTAAATAATGCTGGGTAGTTTTTAATATGTTGGTTCAAATGGTTGTGAAAAAATCGGGCATACATGCTTGGTTGGTTAATAAAATATAAAGTGGAAAATTGAAAATATTCTACAGATTATTAGCAAATATAACCGATTGTTCCTGTCCCTGGAAAAACAGCTACAAGGAAATTTCCTATTTTGTATATTAGACAAACATAAATATATATGAACATCTTAAAAAGTGACCACTACATTCCTTAAAATTTGAATTTTGTGATGATTTCATTAAGCAACAGCCAGTACTTAGAAGTCGAAAAATTTGGTTAATCTCCATTGTCCTGAAAAACTAGTTAAAACTTTTAAGTCTTCTTGAATTCTATCCAACTTCAGAAAATAACTTCTAAACATGGCAAAATATTTCCAAACCATGAACTCAAATTTTGTTTACATTTGGATGCTCAAGTTTTATTTGATTCTGGATTAATTATCTCATTAACTCTTCAACTTTGCAAACTAAAGGCTTTTAATATCCATCTATTTTGAATAAAAAAAATAGTACAGGGTTTTAGAAAGTTCATCTATCTTTAGTTTTCACAAAACTATTTAAGAAAACTCAACTTATAAAATTATACAAAATAAAATCTACAATCTAAGGGGGATAACTGGGGAATTTTTTCAAGTTTTTAATTTTTATGTCATTTTTTCAGATTTATAAATCCACTGTTCAATCATTTATGAATTACTTTTATTTCTATTATTCCTTTTAAGATGATTCTCTTCCTTTTCATATTCTGTTTTTTTTTTTTAAGTGTGTGTTTTTTCATTCCTATTTAATGTAAAACATTCTGATATTACTGAAAATTTTATAATTTCTTATGCTGTCAAGAGTTAACTCCCTTGCATAATATGTTATAGGGTATATCATTAAGCCAAATAACCACTATGTATGTTTTTAATGTAGTTATGTGAAATCTTTTTTTAACACTTATCAAATAACACATCTATTTATTTTCTTTTTAAATTTAAAATGTTTGTGTTTTAGTCATTAGTTTATATATCCAATGTAATGTTTAAGTCGTATAAAAATTAATGTCAGTCATTATAGCAACACTAAGTGAAATATGGGAAAAGTATCTAAAAGAAGTATGCAGTGTCCCAGAACCTAGCTCTTCAAATCTACAAATTAGAATTGACATGACCTGAAAATTCTGTTTATAGAGTGAAAAATTTATATATTCTATGATGTTCAGAGCTAAATTTATCCAAATCTACCTTTACAAGGTGGAAAAGAATCTGTATTATTCGTTTAAGTGTTTTGCAAAATTTTGGATAAATCTTTGTTGATATATAGAAAATTTTACAAAATTAAAACTTTAAACTTTGTAATTTATAGCTGGATAAAAATTTAAACTTATTATGTGTTATGATCTATGGGAGACAACTCAGATATTTTTTGAAAGTTTTTTATTTAATATATTTTCATGTTTTTCAGTTCTTAAATAAATGTAAGATTATATTAAAAAAAAATGAACTGATTTTGACATTTTCCATAACATTTTCTTTCATTTTCTGTTTTGGGCTTGTTTATTTTATTCCTTCCACATTTTTTTACATAATTAAACTTTGCCAAATTTAACATTTCATTAATTCTATGTGATCAAGAGTAAGCTCCCTTATATATTAATGTTGATCGTCTTTAATTCTGTAAAAAATATTCAATTTATTTTAGAATTTTCTCTTCTTTCTCATTCTACATTCAGAAATTATTGTGTGCAGACATTATTACATCTATTCATCAACAGATAAAAATGTGAGACAATTAAATTGGTTTCTGGAAATGCTGCATACAAAGGGTGAAGTCAAATTTTAACATGCTAGTTTAAAATAATGCTCGGCATTAGATACAATAATGAAAACAAAGCAATTTTTTCTCTGAAATCACAGTATTTGAGAAATAATTTAGGGTAAGTTCTTGCTGAAATAGGTATTTGTGTAAGCTGTAAAAGTCTTTTAGAAGTTGGTTTACAGTATTTGCCTTTTTATGAACATAAATTAAACACCTACCATTTCCCGTGATAGTTTTTCGCCTGTTCTTCATCAAGTCCTGTATCTTTGAGGATATCATTTAGATCTCTGATGTCTTTAGCAATAGTTTCATCATCTATATTGATCTGTGGCTTGACATAAGATGTATATGCTGGCTGGATCTTAGCCTAAAATATATTTGAAAATGCTGTTGAATTGTGTATTATTTATAAAATATGCTCATGCTGTATCAGCAATAAAAATGTTTTTTTGTTATGTGGTAAATTTGGTTATTTCAGGTACTATCAATCCCAGGTATAAGGATAATCCTAGTGTATTACAACATACCTAAAAATACCATTGCATTTTGATTTTGTGTCCAGATTATATTTAATGATTGAAGTTGTACTTCTACCACTGATTCCCATACAAAGACTGAACAAGTTTCCTTGCTTTCGAATCAATAGAAAAATGTTTTTCTGACCTAAATATTCATTGTTTAAACTATTGTATGCAAATGTTTTTTTTAACACACAATTCTTTATTTAAACCTATTATTAACTTTTCTGTTTAATCATTCTTTCAATAACTACTAATGGTAATTGAACCCAACAACATCAAGTGTATATATATATATATTATAAAATCCTGCCAGTTCATCCACCATTTATTCAACAAAATACAACCACCACATGTTTCTATTCTAATATATAATTATATCATGACAAGTGAAAAAGGGATGTAGAAATAAAGGAAAAGTACTGTCCTTCAGCTTTTTTTTTTGTGTAATGACATAATTCTGGTGCATTGCACTTGCGCCAATGTTGACAAAATCCAATCTTCATTTGCGCAATAAGGTTATATTTCATTTGCGCAATAAGGTTATATTTCATTTGCACAATAAGGTTCTATTTCATTTGCGCAATAAGGTTGTATTTCATTTGCGCAATAAGGTTATATTTCATTTGCGCAATAAGGTTATATTTCATTTGCACCATAAGGTTATATTTCATTTGCGCCAAAAAATGAAAACTACATTTGTGCCATTTTACAGGTAACATATAACGGAAACTTTTAAAAGATTCATTGCTACATCGTGAATAAGATTATTTTTAGAGTATTTCCCCTGGGTAACTAAGTAAGTTCATACTCATTTCTAATATAAAACTGAGTCACTTAGGTTAAAAATTATATAGTGTTCACATGTTTGAGGTGTAAAGATGGACATTGTCAATTTTGAGACAAACAGGCCTTTAGTTTTCTCAGAATTAGATTGTTTCATATTTTTCATGTCGGGGCCGACTATACAGTATAGGTTTTTCTCGTTTTTGAAGGCTGTACGGTTGCCTATTATTGCTTTCATCTGCTTCATTTGAACTTTGGTGGATAGTTGTCTCATTGGCAATCATACCACATCTCCTTTTTTTTATATAGAGGAAATAAGTCTGTATTTTTATGACCACACATCTAGGTTAGCTAATGTACATGAGTACATCCGAGCCGTTGCTTATACAAGTCTTGTGTCAGAACAAACTTTTGGTTTTACTCCAGTGTATCGTGCTTTCTTTAGGTTTTGATCTCGTTAATTTAAAAGTCTCTTTTGAATAAAACTATTTTTTTTACTATTTACCTGTATTATTGGCGCAAATGAAATGTTTTATTTTGGCGCAAATGAAATATGGTTTGTGGCGCAAATGAAAGATTATTTTGGCGCAAACGAAATGCCAATTGGCGCAAAAGCAAAGCATAATTCATTTAAAATACCTCAAGGGCTGTTCTACAAAAAAATGTAGGAAGGGGGTGGGTGAAGGTTGGTGGAGGCAGATAAATAAACTATTTATCTTACCCAGCCATACCTTAAGTTTTAGTTAATTGTTTTCTATTTATGTTTAGGCTATCTTTCTAACCCATCAAGTTTAAATTAAATTTTTTTTAAAGCTTTTCGATTTTGCAACTGGGAAATTCCAATTCAAATAAATTTTTAGATATTAAACGTGTGAAAGAAAGTGAGAACTTTTAATGTTTAACTAAGATGACAGGTGGTTGAATAACTGTCAAAACAATATTTTAATTATTCTGTTGATTAGGTTTGAAATGGCATGGCTGAAAGTCCATCACACTTTATGAGGTATAACGGAAGAATTAAGAGAAATTATAATATGGCACACGCTTATAACAACCCCGGATCATGTGACTTCTGCAAATTTCCTATTTTTGTAACCCTACACCATACACTTCTTTCAACAAATTTCAAAGTGCAGAAATACCTTGTCTAAAACCAATGACTTTCTAAATCTATTTTATAGTGCATATATATCAAAATGAACCTTATCCCATTTTTTTGTCTGACTTACATAGAAACAGAATGAAGATTTATGCCAAGGTGAACCACTCTAAATGAAAAATATATTTCATGAATTTAGGCTAAAAGGAGATAAACTTCTGTAGCAGTCAATGAATAAAAAAACAAGATGGACTTTATTTAAAGTGGTAGAGGACTTCTATAGTCATCATTCACTAGTTCTCTTGAAATATGTTTTATAATGTTGAAGCTTTTTATAGCTTGTTATGGGTTTTGCTCATTGTTAAGGACCTTTAGTTGCTAACCTTCTATGTCATTTTGTCTCTGGTGGAGAGTTGTCTCATTGGCAATCATACCACATCTTATGATTTTATATAGATGAAGCATTCTATTTCTTTTCTTTAGCTATTTCTTTATTTAGACAAATGCAACAAATATGTATATAGAATTATGCTGCATCAATTTTCTAGCAAATTAATGGGCAAAACATTGTCCAATAATAAAAAGTGTTTGCAAAAACAATATTACCTACTGGAGTTACCCTATTACTGATACTAAACTGCTTTACCCTGCTTTGTACTAAACCAATACACTGAGTCCAATTTTCATTATATTTGGCCTAATGAAATACTTTGTGCTTATACATATAATACTAACAGTTTCATCTTCCTTTTTTTTAATTTCCTCCAGGAGATCTTCTGTCTTTGTTCCTTCTTTCAATACAGGGTGAGATGGTAAACTCATGGGGTCTATCAGTACATCATATGGCACCATGGGATGACAGAAAGTAGATGTGTTATATAGGTCCCACTGTTCTGGCTGACCAAATGTACCTGAAAATTATATGTTGTCATTGAAAAAAAAATTTATTTAAAAAAAAATTAAAATAACACTTAATAAATTTGTTGTGTCCAATTTTACACAAATTTACAACATTTTATTTATGTCTGGAGTTCCAACAGACATACATGGGAAATTTTAAGCCATAATTTGCGATAGAACAATATGTGGATTTGTTTTGGAAGACACAAAATGGTTGGTGTTCCTTATAGCTATGATCAGCTATTAGATAAATTTGAACTCACTAGGGTAATATATGACATCTACCTGAAACTCAACATTTTTCTTTTTAACTTAGAAATATGACTATTTATTCCACAACTGTTATTGTAAGATTTTCCTAATGTTTCTTACTAGAATATACTGCAATTTTACTTTCTGGGTATCAATATTTGGGTAAGGCTGTTCCAGAAATAAATGCATTGGGGGAATGGGAGGCACTTTTCGAGACCGAAACTACCAACAGACTTGGAAAATGCTATTATTGGAAGACCTTTAAACATAATTTTTTCACCTTATTGTTAGGTTACTGTTTCATTAACATTTGCCTGGTATCTATTTTTTTTTATTATTCCTGTTTAAATAATACAATCAGAACTTACCTATATAATTGCCTTCATAGTTCCACAATCTGACTGTACAGTCTATAGCCGCTGTCATTATAACTTTGTTTTTCTCGACTAAATCTATACATGATATACTATCTACGTGACCTCTCCATGTGTTCAATAAACAAACAGAACTTACCTATATAATTGCCTTCATAGTTCCACAGTCTGACTGTACAGTCTATAGACGCTGTCATTATAACTTTGTTTTTCTCTACTAACTCTATACATGATATGCTATCTACATGACCTCTCCATGTGTTCACCACTGTAATTATATAAATATCTGGTACAAATTTGACATTTCTTATACAAATATTCATATTCAAAAATAACTAGTCTGTATTGGTATTTTTAGGTTATATTGTCAATTATCTCCCCTTGATTTCACATTAAGATTAGATACTGATTGACACAACGAAATATTGTTCTAAAATGAGCTGTGATATTTCTCTTTGTAGTCTTTCTGGTAGTGATGTTTTATATCCAAATCAAAAAATTAAACCCAAACCATTCTTGTGACATTATAGTTTCCTATCATAATTAGAAAATTGATCTCAGATGGAAATATGGTGGCACATAATGACTATCCTGTAATTGTGGAAGGATATCTAGATCAAAGCCTTAAAGGCTGTAAAAGCAATTGCTGCCATGTTAATGTTTTGGGGACTTTTGTTTTTCATCCACATATATATATAAGAATTAAACCTGATAGGAGTGTTGTCTAGTGAGAAGTAAGAAGGTTTTAACTTTATGTCAATAAAAGACTTTAGCAGAAAGTCATTTTTAATATGTTTTATATTTCACAAGGAGACAACACGTTTACCAGGCTAAAGATGGGGTCAAATTTACATGTGCTGAAACATATAACTCAAGAAGAAATTACCCCCTGGTAGTGTTTGTAACTGGGCAATAATTTCCTTTATTGATTTAATTTTAACAATTATCATAATTAATTTAAATTAAAACCATTCAATTAAAACATTTCAACTTTCCAGACGTAAATGTTGAAAAACAGGAAAGAAATAAAATATCTTACAAGACATTAACATGTAAGTAATAAATATATATTTCAGCTTACTAAAAATATTTTCATAATGTTACTTTGTCTTCATTTCTTAAAACTAAGTCCCAAACATTATTGCTCAGTTGATATGCGTCATCCTCATGCGGTACAAGATAACTTTAATTCTCATGCAATCCTGAAAAGGGGGGGTCATCACAGACAAACATGACATTAAATTGTCATTATACGAACAAGAACAAACAGCTCTTCGTTGCTTTGATATTTATCAATTTTTAGGAAACATTGTGAAAAATGATCTTCAATATTTCGAAAACATGTGAAATAAAATTGCAAACACGGTGGACCGTCGAGTGTCAACACACGTAGTAGACTCGTCCACTGGAAAGACGAGGATAATGGTTTCATCATTTGTCATGCATACCCAGTTTTGATTATGATATCCAAAAGGACGTACTTTTTTTCAATCTATGAAACTAGAAAATTCCAAATTGAAATATCTCTTTGACGGGTCCATATTAGTAGGGTGATTGATAAATCTTACGGAGTTATGACAAAAAAGGAAAACGAACTTATTGTTATGTGTTTTTAACAAGGGTTTCGTTCCGCTAAATTATTTGCGCAAACAAATCAACAAAATAGGTCAGTTAAGTTTGTCTATTTTTAGATTACAGGTAATCATTTGACACTACGTATAACCTGTGTAGTGATTTTGATTTTAAAATAAATTTATGAATGAACGATAATTTTATGAATGAACAAGCGCACCTGGCCTCTTTCTTAGAGAAACACCAATTAAACATATAAAACCGTATTTAATAAGAGATAATTCTGTAAAATTTTCAATACTAAATCAACAACTGAAATGATTCCATATTTTGTTGAAACATCGTACGAAAGGAGAACGGAATCGCAGGTATAAAAATGCACTTTTTTTCACTCGGACTTCTATGTTTTTTGATAGTCAAACGGTTGTCCCCCTAAATACAAAAATACATCTACAAGAACATATGCCGAAACCTCTTAAATCCACTAACGTTTTTCAAAAGTTTCAAGCTATGTATTGCATTAGAAAACATACATAGGTGTTTAAGAATGACAGACCAGGAGACTGTTTAACAAAATACTATGGCTTGATCTGGGCGGAGTCTCTGATTTGCGTCACAAAGATGGCCATACGCGATGGCATAAAAGCAATTGCTTTAAAAAATGCATTGTGCATACATGAATTTCTATCATCTGTTCATAAAAGCAAATGTCTCTCACAGCAAGTACCCCCATTTAAACCCTTACTGTGGGCAAAATGATGGGTGCCACCAGTGAAACTGCTTACCCTTCTAGAGTACTTGAGTACCCCCTGTTTTAGTAGGGAAAGTGCTTGCTTAGTCTAATCTTATGAGTATTGCTCTGTGGACTATAATTGTTCCTCTGTTTGCTTTTTTCTTTTAGTTTAAACTTTTTTTTCTTCGACTTAGGTTTTTGATTGTCCCCTTGGTTTATTCTCCCCATTTTTTACCATTTCACAGAAAAATTGAATTTAAGGATGTTCGCTCCAGTTGTTTTTGAATTTTTATCAGATATTCGGAATCCTTTGGTTTAATCCATGTATTGCCATTAAAATTTTTGCCCACTAAGCCCTACTTTTCTTTTCATAATTTTATTACATATAGGTTCAAAAGCCATATTTGAAAATCTTATAAATCCTTGTAATTTTTCTTAGTTTTTGAAAGAAAAAAGCTGCCAATGTTAACTGTATGAAAAATCTAGAGAGAATCATTTCCCGCCAAATTTTCAATGGCTTATATCTCAAAAACAAGCACACAGACCCATCATTTTTTTCTTCTTTTTCAGTTTCGATATTTACGTACTATCAATTTATAACAGTCTTTTAAAAAGCTTGTTATTTTGAAACAGAGTAGCAAACATCCTTAAAACAATACATGTACTTACATTCTGGAGGTTCCTCTTCATACCCTGACATTGCATAGCCTTCAACATTATATACAAATACAAATCCTAAATTATCAGCCACACATAGCATAGTGTTGGCTTCGTTGATTGTCATTGTACTGATTAAAGCACCCTCTGTGGAAGTCTAGAAAAATAATAATTATTCAAATTAAAAAAAAAATTGATACTGAAGATTCATAATTATTCAAATTAAAAAAAAAATTGATACTGAAGATTCATAATTATTTGTAGGATACTAATTTTCATAGATTAAGTGGGTTTATGTGAACTTAATTGTTTGCACATAGATATTGGGAACACCATGATTATCCATGAAAAAAGTAATTTTTTCTCAATCCACAAAAATTGGAACCCACGATCGATAAATCTGCAGACATTAAGATAGGATCAGAATTGACAGGTAGAGCATTATTGATTAAAAATGTTTTTAACAACGATGCAATACAAATTATATTGACATTTTATAATTACTGTTGTCTACAATACAAAATCATGGGAAAATAATTGAATGATACTAGTTATGAGGGTAGGAATGCCCTTTACCGTCAGGCGTCAAAAGCTCATTTTCGGCTACCGTTAGCGTCAAATTGATTAAAATTTTACCGTGATTGGTCAAAATATCCTTATCGTTACCGTTATTTGTGGAAAAAAATTAAAGTGATTCGTCAAAATCAGTCGATTTTTTTTATCGTCTAAAAGAAAGTGTACATTTTAACGTCATGCACCAAAAATTACCATTAACGTCATTTGGCAAGATTTTTACCGTTATTCGTCATGAAGGGACCCCCATTACGTCCCTCAGTTATCATTATGTAGTTCTGCAACATAATTTTATCTTTAATTTTTGGTTCCTTTTCAGAAATTAGGAATTTTCCAATTGGAGTTTTTAAATATAACTTATAAAATCTAACAAACACTGATCTGAGACTGCCCCATAAATGATATGAAGCAAAATGATTTATGTTTTACATTTTCACCATTTATAGCTTACTATACGGTAAGGGTTTAGCTCATTGTTCAAAGCTATACAGTGCATTATAGATGTTTACACCCTCGTCTTTTGTCTCTTGTTGATAGTTGTCTCACTGGCAATCATACCAAATCTCCTTTATTGTTATTATCAATTATGCATAACTAATTTAAAGCTCGTTTTGCATCTTTCTCCTTCGTAGTGAAAATTTTTGAAATAATTTTCATGAATCAGCCAAATGTTTTTATCGTTTCACTTACCCCAGAATCTCTTTGTTGTTATTTTGAGATAATCATTACAAATGACGTTTGTTTTGCCATCTATCTCCTTTGCAGAAATTTTTTAAATAATTTTCATGAATCAGCAAAACGTTTTAATTGATTCACTTACCCCAGGGAAGTCTGCTTCTAGAGATCCACCCTCAAAAACTTTCCAGAACAGAATATGTCCATCAGGTCCATTGGAGATCAATGAAGCTGCCCCTTTGTTATAGGCTCTTTCTGACATAAATACTAACTTGCTCACACTACTCTTACCATGTACTGTAAAGAAAATCCTACTGGTTATGCACAGTGTAAAAGAAATTAATGCATCTTTCAAGCAACTCCATTTTCATTGTAAATTGTTTAGATTCAAAATCCTCGTTATTAACATCTTTACAAATTAAAACGTCCAATAAATCAATAGATTTCAATCACATCTAAAATAAAATCCAATAAATGAATATTAAAATTCAATGAGGACCTTTAAAAAGTACATTATCCAGTCTTAGGGTCCTCATAAATGACATCTTGACCAATCAGAACGTCAAAAACTGTTGCATTCCCAGAATGCAATTTCTATCCTGAATAGGCTGATTTTGCAGAATCTTGTTTAAGTAAATGCTATTGTGTTATATCTGTATTCAGTTTTAAATTTAATTGTCATGGATTCTGAGTGAAGATGAGTACACAAACGTTTGTGTCAAATTTTTGATTTTAAATCATGAAAACTGAGCCTTGCAAGTTCCCAGAATAAAAAGAGAGAGATGTCATTTTATACAACTGTCATACAACTGATAGGTTTAGCTAGCTATAAAAGCAGGTTTAATCCACAATTTTCTACATAAGGAAATGCCTGTATCTAATCAGGAATGAGACAGTTGTTTTTGCCATTTGATAAGGGACTTTCCTATTTGATTTTCCTTGGAGTTCGGTATTTTTGTTATTTTACTTTTCTCATATACATGTATATAATTGATAAACTTACATTTACAGAAAATATGACCAGATACCATATTCCATACAACTATTTCACCATCATACCCTGCTGTTGCTAGTAAGTTTGGCTGGCACTGGGCTATGGACAATATGTCTTCCTTATGACCATTTTTCTGTAATATTTAATGCATAGTTTAAAGTACAAAATAAAAACATCTAAAATAATAACATCATATGAGGTAGGTGCCTGGTAAATACCTCAAGGTAACAGTTTTTAACATGTGGGAATTTGCATGTTTGTTTTACTTTTCAAAATACTTTTTGGTAATCGGACATATAAATTAAGGGAAATCATATACTCCTTTTATGTATGTATGTAAGCATTTACAAATTTAGTTGAAATTGTATTCTCCTTTATGAGGTTTTTAGAAAAATCAGGAAAAACCTGAAACTGGACAGAACTTTGCCACCATTGTATATAGACCCAAATCAACACGTCTACCATGTATGCTATCTAAGAGAGCATTCATAGTTAATGTTATAAAATAACTGTTGCCTAAAAATAAAAAAAATAAAACTTCCACATGAAACTAAGGACTATATTTTAAATTGTAAAATGTCTTCCCTTTAGTTCATTACTGAAGATTTTCTTCTAACTGCCAAGATGAAGAACAGCAATTAACATGTTGGACAGAGCAAAATGTAACTGTCCACCATTCCCTATTCAAATCTTCTACCTTTCATAAAAATCTGTCCTCAAAATTTAACCAAAATATCTTATTTTGTAGAAATTACCCTAAACATTGTTGCTTAACGTTCTGTAAATCAGATCAAAGTTGGGGCTCTTTCTCACGAAAAATCTTAAGACAAAAATTGATAGTCAGTTATACTGAAATGTTTATAACTTACAAATCTTTTTTATCATACTATATTTTTTTTGTGAAATGAGTCGTTGGACCTAAACATATGTAAGTGGACCTCGTCACATTCTCTTTTTGTTTTCAATTGTTTCCACTATGAACAAATTTGGGTTATCAAGGATATCTCATTCAATATCCCTAATGCGCCTCAAATGGAGGAACACAAAAGTTGTGTGTAAACATAAAATCTGTGTAGTCATATTGGACATGTTTCAATTTTAGACAAGTGACTGAACTTAACCATTTGTGCTGATTTGGAGAGCAGAGGACCATAGAATAAATGTATAAAAACTATGGAGTTATTAAATTATGCAAAGAACTAAATTTTTGGGATGTGCTAATTTACGGAAAAATGAATCTCACTTCAAACCTCGAAAATTTAACCACATATGTGAAAACATCTCAGCCTTGAAACGAGCCATCATACATATCCAAGTTTACGATATAAGCAGAGGAATTGAGGAAAGGCTACCATTACCGCCTACCTGAAATGAATTGACCATCTGTGCCCATCTGAGAACATTAATGTTAAGTACTGGATCATTTTACCCATCATTTCCATGCTACTGAACAGATGCAATATATCTAAGTACCTACCAAATCATCAGTCCAGACTATATTAGGATTCTGCACTTGATGTATATTGGAATCAGTCTGAGAGTCAGAGTAAATATTGATTCTTTTGTCCCATCCTACAGATATAATGTAGCGATTCTTGTTCATCTCTACATAAACAACATCACAGATTTCATCATTACCCTTGGCTGAAAATAGAGGTTAAATCATATAAATAACAGTTAGAAAATTTGGAGGTGCACAAGACATTAGATACTAAATGTTCTAGAAAAATTATCATTGAAATTTAGTCTCTGGTTTAAGAGATGCAGATCAGCAAAGAGCGCACAGGGGAAAAGAAGAAATGTATGATAAGACAAAACATTCACTATTTGAGGGTCCAGAATGGGGTCCTTCATTTTTTATTCTTTGATTGTTTAGACCATTTTTCTCTACTTCTTATCTATTTCGCCCATTATGCTCGATTCTGTATATTTTAATACCTCGTTATTCTCTATTCATTTTTTTCCCTACTTTCTCTATTCTAAATTTTTTGTCCTTTAATCTTCACTTTTTGACCATTAATTTCTGGACTGTAAACCCCATCCAGACACTCCTATATACCATTGCTTTAGTAGTGAGAGGAGAGGTATAGAAAGAGACAGTGAAGACCATGGATGACAAATATAAACTGTTATCACAGAGATATGTCTCGCCTTTTTGTAATTTTGATAATGCAAATGTTGAAATTAAAATAGCAATACTTTAACATGTAAGTTATGCAAATATTCAAAGTCCATGAACCATGAATGAAGGTTCATGGCTAAACAATCTCCATGGAATGAGATGTGCCAATGCTAATACAACTGCATACCAAATACCATTGACTTATTATAAGTCGTTCCCTTTAAACAAACCTAAACACAAACATTAATTTGTAAACTATGTAAAAGTTTCAAAGTCAATGAACCATGATCAGGGGTGGGGCTATATAATCTCCATGGAAAGGATACTTGCAAAGCAAATATCATTCACTTAACATTAGCAATTCATCTTAAACTGATCTAATCACAAACTAATACATGTAAAATAAGCAAAAGTTTCAAAGTCAATAGACCATGACTGAGGGGGCGGGGCCAAATATTCTCCATGGAAATGAGATTTGCTAATGCTTATACAACTGAACACCAATTAACATTGGCCTACCACTAATGGTTCCCCTTGAACTGACCTAATCACAAACTAATACATGTTAACTAAGCAAAATTTTCAAAGTCTATAGACCATGACTAAGGGGAAGGAGCCAAATAATCTCCATGGAAATGAGATATGCCAATGCTTATACAACTGCATACCAAATATCATTGACCTACCACTAGTGGTTCCCCATAAATTGACCTAATCTCAAACTAATATATGGAAACTATGAAAAGTTTCAAAGTCAATAGACCTTGACTGAGGGGGCAGGGCCAAATAATCTCCATGTAATGAGATGTGCCAATGCTAATACAACTGCATACCAAATATCATTGACCTACCACTAGTGGTTCACCATGAAATACCTAATCACAAACTAATACATTGTTGACGCCATCGCCGACGCCGGAAACAGCATACCTATGTCTCGCTTTTTGACTCTGTCAAGGCGAGACAAAAGCCAGGAAAAATCAAGACAAAATACATTAGTAAAGAGATTAGTACACAGAAAAACTGGTCGATGCTTTATTTGATTTCAATGGACCATTTAAGTCTCCATAACAGATCAATATTGAAGTATCCCTAATAAATTCATTAAAATCACATTTTAACAGATATTTACGCAAATATACTTTCAAAATGCTCTGGTATACCAGCATAAACTTGATTAAAAACTTTATTTTTGACCATGACACAATGGACTTGATTTAACCGATTATTACGAAAGATCTCTGAATATATGTATTTTAGTTTGTAGTACACATATTTATATGTAATTGATTATCTGTCAGTCATTCATATTTATGTTGTTTAGATCTTTAACAATACAATACGGTGATTTTTTCGCGTGTATTTTCCCATTCAGCAAAAATTATATACAGCGAAAATTTAACCTACCCATTTTGCCATTAAATAGCGAAAAAAAGCCGACAGGAACAAAACCCGATATACGGTATATTGGCATAAAAGTGATACAATAAAAAAATACATCCTTTCAAAGATGAGCCATGCAATTCTTCCTTATATCAGTTTAGAGTTTCAAATTGATGGGCTAAGTTTGTTTAATTTATTTAATCATTCAATTATTAAAAAGTTTTTTCATGAACATGATCCGGCCACAACTCGTTTTTTTTAATTTTAATTTGATTTACAGATGAAGCAAGTTTTTAATCATATGGCTTTCGTATGATTCATAATCAAATGTATATGTATAAAAATAAGAAGATGTGGAATGATTGCCAATGAGACAACTCTCCACAAGAGACCAAATGACACAGAAATTAACAACTATAGGTCACCGTACGTCCTTCAACAATGAGCAAAGCCTATATATATAGTTCTTACATTTTTGTAGTTTTCTGAGACAATGTCCATTATTGTAATTCCATATATTCAACACTCCATCTCTGGCTCCAGTTATTAACCTGTAAAATCAAAAGTAAAGTTTTTTTTTTTTATTTAAACAAATGATCAGGGGCTCAAAGGAAACTTTATCAAACACTGCGCATTGGTAACCCATGAGCCATGGTATATTGTTGTCAAAGTGGTAAATCCTATTTTTCACCCATTTGATCCAACTTTTCTTTTATTTCTGAATCAATTTCCTCCATTTTTTGCATCTTCCTACAGTTGAAGTCCATTTTTTTTTTTACAAATTACTAAATATTATGTCATCCCATTTGTTCACATTTACGGAGGATACTATTTTGTTGAAATGATTACAACTACGTCTGCCAATCCAAAATATTATAGTAATGTTCATATATATCAGCTGGCTCTATTTAACCTACAGAATAATTGAGTGCTTCTTTATGTTATAGCTACACATATTACACACATTCGCCAGAGTATAAGTATAGCATCTTAACGCCATAAGAATATACCTATGCTTTGAACAAGACCCAAAGAGTGTCATTAGTATAAGTATAGCATCTTAACGCCATAAGAATATACCTATGCTTTGAAAAAGACCCAAAGAGTGTCATTAAAATAATGCTAGCTCAAAAACTGGTATATGTGTCATTATAAGTAGACAAATTATTCTTGATGTCCAATTATCCCAACAAAAGAACTTTTAAATGGTTGTCCTTACTTTATGTGTATATCAATTTTGTGTTAAGCAAATTAAACAACAATCAATCAATCAATATTTGTACATAGTTTTAATTGTTTATATCTCAGAACATTTAATCTGGAATGTCAGTAACTTCTAGTAGTCCTTTGTTAATTTATGTATCATTGTCATTTTGCTTAGTTTCTTTTGTTACCTATTCTGACATCGGACTCAGACTTCTTTTAAACTGAGTTTTACTGTGTGCATTGCTGTGTGTTTGTTTATTCTACATTGGCTAGAGGTAACGGGGAGGGTTGAGATCTCACAAAACACGTTTAACCCAACCGCATTTTTGCGCCTGTCCCAAGTCAAGAGCCTCTAGCCTTTGTTAGTCTTGTATGTTTTTTAATTTTAGTTCATTTATATGTTTTGGAGTTTAGTGTGACGTCCATTCTCACTGAACTACTTCACATTTTTGTTTAGGGGCCAGCTGAAGCCGCCTCCGGGTGCAGGATTTTCTTGCTGTGTTGAAGACCTATTGGTGGCCTTCGGCTGTTTTCTGCTCTTTAGTCGGGTTGTTGTCTCTTTGACACATTCCCCATTTCCATTCTCAATTTTATCTGTAAATAGTTACATGAGAATTGCTGTCTCATTCTCCGTCTAGTGGACTAATTACATTCCAATAGGAATCCAATCCATAGAAAGGAAGAAGAAGAAGAAATTTCCCTCTTCAGGAGCCCCTGAGATCACCCCTGGTTTTTGGTGGGGTTTGTATTGCTCAATCTGACTTGTAGTGTTTTGTGAACTTTTTGTCTTTTGATGTTTCTCATTTTTTGCCATGGCCTTGTCTTTCTCATTTTTTGCCATGGCCTTGTCGTTCTCATTTTATGCCATGGCCCTTGTCAGTTTTTGTTAAACTCATGAGTTTTGAATGTCTCCTTGGTAACTTCTGTCTCTTTTTTGCTACTGTAGATTCAGAAATTATTGCGAGGTTTTTATTAATGCAAATAATGCTACTGGCCGACTATTACAATAATAAAAACTTGCATTCTTATAACTGAGACATATATGTGTATGCAGATTTTCCTGAAATCACAATCATTAATCTCGCATTTTTACCCATTCTTCAAAAATTGCAATAAGAAATGCACACAATAATTTCTGAATTTACAGTATTATTTTTTAAATAACTTTTGTAAAGAACAAATTTAATTCTGAAGCTGATTGACTTTGCATATTTCATGATTTCATAACTTTATTGATGTATTAATATAAGAGAACATTCAATTTTGACATTATCTTAACAAATAATTTAAAAAAATTATTAAAAGATTTATCTTTTGACCACATATAGCTCAACTGACTGGCCATGGTTATTAAACATTAGCACATACTTACAACTTCTCGTCCAATCAAATTGCTTATATTTGCCTTCTAATTTTCATAGTACATACTTTTCCTGTGTACTAAGTAACTACGCATGAATGACCACAAGGGTAAGGTTTCATTGTATCGTAATCAAGATATTTAAAACAAAATTTGCCACTGGCTATTTTGAAATAAAATGCTGTGTTCCAAATTAAATTAAATAGTTTGTAATTAGTTTTCACATTGATTTTAAATATCCTGCTATTAAAATCTTTGGATCTAAAAAATGTTTTGACAATTGCAAATGTTATCATTTAAATAAAGGGTAATACACATGGTTCTTTATACCTTGATTAGAGTACAATGATATCTTAAAATTATGATAATGTATCATCCATGCAATTACTTTGTACACAGAAAAGTGTGTACTATGAATCCTTGTGAAGGAAAATTAAAGCAACTTGGTGATAATTTTTTAAACTTTCTTAAGGAAAGTGATCTATTTCGTCATGAATTGATTGATTTATTGATTATTGGTTGCTTAATGTCCAGTGGCAAATATTTCATGCATGTTCAGGACGATGTCATGAATTGAAAAACTGTGATTATGTCTGAAAATAATGTGCAAGCTATATATATAAACATATTCTGATAAATCTTTTAGTTTTTACTTTGAACTAATAAAAAAAAAAAAACACAAAACCTATAATCTTTGATCTATTTGTAGTTGCTTTTTAATGCCTATCTGCTAGACTATATGTTTGGGGACAAACTATCTATATGTTTCAAATTTATTATAGCTTTAGTTTTACTGTGAAATTAAAAAATGTTTTCAAAACATGTAAAGCTTCCACTGCAATTTAATTATTGCCTGCTTTTGGTCAATTTATTTTGTCATCTTACCTTGTAAGAAGAACATGTATAGTAAAACACCGCTTTATATCAGTATACATACTTACACTAGCAGCTACCATCTTTTCATTCTGGAGTGAAGGGCCTTTTGAAATCACATATTTTACAATGATACTAGTGAGTAGATTTACAAAACTCGTTAATGAGCTCCGTTTTACAAACACCTGTGATACAAGTAGTCAGCCAAAATAAACTATCAATAGACCAATTAAAAGATTACTCGAGTTGTAAATATGTGCTAAATTGGATAGTCTATGGAAAGGTATATACTATGAAATTAAGAGCTCGGGGCAAGCCCCTCGCTCTAAATTTCATAGTATATACCTTTCCATAGACTAACCTATAATTAATCATTGTATAAGTAAATGTTCTAATTCCTGACTTGGTAAGTGTTCACTAGTGAACTAAAATCTGGATTTAGGTAGTTTGGTTTTTTTTTAGCTCCAAACAGACAAAAGTTGTTCACTGATTAATTAAATGATTGGGCTTATACAAATATTCATTATCGTTTTCAATTGATAAATCAATTTTTCAATGATAACATATTAAGTCAATCTTAAGATGGACTAAACCATTTTAAGGGACAATCCATCACAAGACGGACTATTCTATACTAACATGGACTAGACCATTAAAACGGACAATCCATCACAAGACGGACTATTCTATACTGACATAGACTAGACCATTAAAAAGGACAATCCATTCCAAGATGGACTGTCCTGACATGGACTAGACCATTATCAGGAACAATCCATTCCAAAATGGTCTATCCTATACCGACATGGACTTGACTGAAATGATATATTAACCAAAGCCAGATTTAAATTTAATGCAAGATAAATGTGCAGCACTATTTCCTATTATTAACTAAAATTTCATTTTTATCAATTAATTTCTTCAGACAAAATATTCCTCCTTGTAGGTTTCAGTACTGTCCCATTCCAGTTACAGATTCTACACCTTATAGGCCTTTTCCTCACACAGTAGCCTACTCTAGACAAAATGTATGTCTTGATGGTTTAAGCCTCTCCACAGGTGAAAACTTGTATTTTTCTACCTAAGTATTTGAGTCATTTTTGAAACTCCTCTGAGGCATTAGACATAAATTTGTACTCATGTTCTTAGAGGGGCAGAAGGACCTTTCACAGGACTTTGGGATTGGGCCTTTAATTTTGGGAAAATTCAGGATTGGGCCTTTATTTTTGTGGGAATTCTGGATTTACACCTATCGGGACTCTGGAATTAATGATAAATTTTTCAAGATCTGGGAAAGAATACTTTATTTTTTCAGGAATTTGGGATGACACCCACTCCTACAGCCCCTCTTCTTAGTTTTGAATTTAATTCATATAAAATCTTCAAATAAAGAATAAAATATAAGGCTACAGATTTTGAAAACATTTTATACAAGAAGAAAGAAAACATTAAACATTTACTTATAGATCACTGCAACAAAAAATTATGCATTTTATTCCTCTGGAATTTGATTATTAATTATGATCTGATATCCTACTTGAACTCATTTTTCATAACACCTATCATTGAGAGTAAAACTCATTGACCACTACTCCCTTTAGTCCTTCACTGACCATCAATAATAAATGGTTTGATGCATTACTCAGTGAGTAAAATCACTCATGAGCACATATCTAGATTAAGAGTTTGAGATGTTAAATCAGTATGTGTTAATACTGATAGCTGGTCAATATGATTGACAATGAAAGTCATGTGAATAGATTTTAACCACCATTCAGTTCCTTCAATTGTTAGATAAGTGAATTGTTCACAATATAGAATTCACTAATCATAACTGTTTTTAAAAAATGGACTTGACCATCATGGGGTATAACCTATTCCCAACCAGACTTACCCATTTTTGGAATGAATACAACTAAAATGGAATATACCATTCCTTGCCAGATTAGTCCATTTCGACGTGGACTGGGCTGATTTGGAATGATCCATTCTAAATCAGATTTGCCTTTTAAGAATTCATACTGATTAAAAAAAAAGGTTAACAAAATAGTAATATACTTGTTGTTCAAAATACCACACATAAGTGTCAAATATTACCTTCTTTCTGTATTATCAAAGGTCATACATGTTATAGCAGAGTCACCATGTGCTTCTCCATACTCAAATATAGCTGTGCCTGTCTCAAAGTCCCAGATCTTTATTACCTAAAAATAATACATAATACTCAAATATAGCTGTCCCTGTCTCAAAGTCCAATATCTTTATTACCTAAAAAAGTAATACAATAATACTCATACATTGTACTCGTCCTGAATATGCATGAAATATTTGCCACTGGACGTTAAGCAACCAACAATCAATCAATCATACATTGTACTAAAATATAGCTGTCCCTGATCTTTATCACTATAAAAAAACACCATAATTATCATACATTTTACTCAAATATAGCAGTACCTTTCTCAAGTCCAAGATCTTTATAACCTAAAAACATAATACCATAATACTCGTACATTATACCAAATCTATAAGTTTTAGGTTTATGCATCTATTCTTACGGATATTTTTACTGACAATTGTCTCCCCTTGTTCATGTTTCAACTTGGATAGGTAAATTGTAACTTTTAAAATAATATAGGTCTTAGTTTAGAGGATAATGATGAATTGATGCATATAATCTTAATCAGGCGATGATCTTTCAATGGGTTTTTTCAATTCAGTGTATTCAAGAAAAAAGAAAGTGGGGAATGTGAAATAAACCATCATCTACTTACCGAGCCCTCAGAGCAGGTAATAACATAATTAAAACAGGCATTATATTTGCAGCAGGTGACTGGTTCTTTGTGAGTAACTGTTATATCTCGATGTAACGTTGGTCTGTAAATAGTCCAATCCATAAAAAATTACAAAACATTTAACAGTAGCATATGCATTATAACACATGAAAAATCTTTATGGAATCCCTATAAATTAAACTACAAAAATCGTAATTGCCAGAATTTATTAAAATTTTGAAAAAGATAGTAGTCTGTGTATATCACTCTTTTAACATTGAACAGTATTTGAAGTCTAAAATATTGCAAATACTGCAATTTCTGCAAAGCTATAACTAGCATATCAAAAACCTACAAGAGTAGCATAAATTGTGTTAACCTAGTTTGATTTTGTAAACTTCATAAAAGATCAAAATTTTTTGAATAAATTCTTATGCATTTCTTCAATTGCATTTTAAGTCTTTTACAACTAGCTGCAAATAGTTTAAAAGCTTTAGAAGAATTAAAATTCTGAAATGTTTCAGTTTGCTTAACAGTATTAGAATCAAGCCCTAAACATCCAGTTAAAATCTTACCATGCATTCAATGTAAAACACAAATTTGCAAATTCTGCTGGCAAAGGTCAATTTTAATAATGGCCAAGCAAAATCATGCATGTTTTAATATGTCAAAAAAGCAACTTTGCCAAACTTTTATAAGAACTGCATTTAAGAGACACTTAGAAAGTTTATTCATTTGTTTCGTCAAAAGCAACTGTTTATATGATGGGTGATTCAGGTTAAATAGGTCCATTGGCCTGTGTCAATAAATCATTTTTGAGAGTCTGGGACTATTGTCTAATGGACAATTTCAAGGTTTTAAGGAAAACATATGTCAACAAGACTTGCTTAATTGTTTTTAAATCTATCTGCAGTGAATTCTATTTTCAATAATGTAATGTTCATTCTGGTCAACAGCATGATGTGCTGAATATAATACTAAATTTGATAAATGCACAGTATCAAAAATAAAGGGGGAGGGTGGTGCTTGCCAAAAAAGAGAATAACTTACATGAAATTATGCTATTTGGGTTAAATTCATGGTCTTTAAAATATTCCTTTCAGGAAAGAGCTATCCTACAGCAAATAAATCAGTCTAATTCATGTCATATTTCTTGTCTCAAGCATTTTTTTTTATATTATAGGTCACATGTGTACATGTTTTACAAACTCCATTAAACTCACAGTTTTACTCTAATGAACTGAATATCAATCCTTTGTAATATTTGTTTTCTTTAATCTAGAACTCATTTGGTTGTAAAAACATGTCAAATCATAGAAAGTAGCCCTGTATAGAGGGTACCTGCTCCAAAGAAAGACAATTCCTACAGAACCAAATAGGGGAAATAACTTGAAAAGATTGAAAATGTGAAATGCAGTTACATTTCAACGGGGTAGAAAAGAGAAGCTTGGTATTAGGTCAAAGGTTTTCAGGACATATATATTTTTTTCATCTCATCAACATTAATACTATATAAAAAGTACTTTAATTAACATTTCAAATTAATATTTTAGATAATACAGTACTAAATATATGTTTGATATCTGATATTATATTTGGTAGAATGGTAGAATATATTATGTTGTTTAACAATCCCTTCATTTCCAGTATTTTGGTTAGTAAATATATTTTATGTTTTGTCAGCAGACATACCATATACCCAAGTTTTACAGACATCTGACTTATAATATTTACCCTTCAGAAGTTTCTAATTCATCACTACATCATAAAAGAAGAAAATGATCGTGAGAAAATTGTACACATACATAAAGTATGTAATTTCTCTCTTATATTCAGTTATTAACAGATAACATTTATTCTAGTTTTAGTAGGCTAACATATATATTGTATGTAATAGAAGTTCAGTCAATTTGTTTAGTACCATCTGGAGACTAATTTAAACCATATAAAGACAGACAAGTCTGACCATGGTCAGTGCAAGAGCCTCAACCATTTAAAAGCTATAAGAAGAGCCCAAGAGACAAAAGAAAACATTCAAGCATATAGGCAATCAGGCTCAGATACTTTAATTTTGGTCTACAACAATAAGGAACAACTATACATGAAAAAAACTGCAAAAGTTTCTACACATGTTTTTGTTCTAGGGGGGAAACGGGAACTAAGTTTTTCAAATTTAGAATTGTAAAATTAAAACAGAATATTGGTAGGTAGACAAAATATGAAGTAATTACTGTGCTCAAACTTTCGTAAAAAAAATTACTGGTGTCTAAACAAGCCAGCACTACAGACTCAAAATTTTTGGTTAATATTGTGTTTTAATTAAATAAACTTTATAAAATATTTTAAAAAAATGTCTGAATTATTAATTGAAAAATTTGTGAATAAGATTGAACATGGTGATGAAAATTCAATGTTCTATATATAGAAATTCTACAGGTGGGGTAAAATAAAAATTATTTTTTACATATATAATATAATTTTTTTTTGAGATACTTGAATTTGTGGTGAAACAAATTATAAATTAAAAGTTTTTTAAAACTAAAATTTTGTAAAGCACTTTGTGGTAAAGGGTTATTTTCGTGCAACTTGTTTTGCCATTTTTTATTTCACATGCAGCCGTGAAAATGGTTCGTTATTCACCGTGTCGTGAAATCGGTAAAAAGATCAACGTGCAAGAAATTTTAAATTGTTCGTTCATCATGAAATGGCAATTTTATTTCATGTTCTTCCGTGCAGATACCCCCCCTTTACACCCCTCTTTAATTCATGGTGAAGGTTAACCACTATATCTATGAAAATTTGAACCCCCAAAAATAATAACTAATCCACATTAACTATATAGAAAAAAAAACTCTAGATCGACTTTATAATTTTTTTCCAGTATCCACGTCTTAAAAGGTAATACCAAACACAGTGAAAAAATTCATTATACAACAGCAATACAAGGTGGGACAACTCTGCATTGGATATAAAGGAAAACACAAAACCTGGTGTCTATCTTGATTGCATTGTTTAAAAACTTCAAATGGTATAAAAAGTAAATTTCCAATAAAAACAGCCATGGTTTGTCATGGTCTTGAAAAATTTCTGTAAGTAATAAAGCATTATAAATGACAAAAAGAATTGTCATTATAAATAGCAGAATTTGGCTGAGGTTCTGTGTATATTTCTGAATAGATCATCTATACTTTTAACCAAATTCATTTTCAGTACTTTTTCATGAAAAATAAAGTTCCAATAAAAAAGAAATTTAGATTTTTCAAAAGGTCTAAAATGTAGTACATGGTATGGATCATAAAAAACTTGAATGCTTAAATAAAGTAAGAACCTTCTTGCAATTTTGTAAAAAATGAAATTTTCTTAATGATCTGAAACCAAGACAGATAAATTAAGGCTTACTAAATTGTTGTACAATGTAATAATAGGTTGGCTGAAAAATAAATTATGTGATTGCACACAATAGCCAATGACAGTGCAGTAAAGAGGAAGCCATTTTAAGTCCATTCTAGATGGTTAGTAGGACTCACCTGACATTTTTTGCATCTTGATCTGATCTATTAGCAAATTAATTATATATTACTTATTATCTATTGACTACAAGCTAAATATCTTATCATATGCATCTGCTCTCAAAATATTTTTCTAAATGTAAAACTTTTTTGAATTAAATAATTCATCTCGTCACAAATTAATACGAAGAAAGGAGATTTATTAGTTCATGAAAAGCTATAAAATTTCAATGATATTTTTGAATGAAATGATTGTTAAATAAATCGTCATCAAAGCAGCTCTGTAAATTGGTAGAACTATACATGTTTTATATACAATATATCAGCAAATCCTGAACTTTATACAATAAAAATCTTACTTCTGTCTTAGTTGTAATAAGCACATATTGTCTGTTGCAATAGCCAATGTTTTAGAGATAATTGAGTAATGGCAGGCTTGGATATCTCCTCTGATTGCATGACCTTTTTCCCTGACTGTCATCAGACAATTGTGGTCCTGAATATCCCAGATCTGAAATAAGGAACATGTATATTCTAAGTTATCTCCCCTCCTGAAAAGAAAAGATGATTATTGAAGCATAAAAAAAACCAGATTGTTTATTTCAGGGCTTTTGGCCACAGACCACAATTAATTCCTCTATTAGTTCTTTATAACGTTTTGTCCAATTAAAAAAAAATGACCTGTTTTTTTTTTGTCAAATTTTTTGTGTGTGTAATGTACAGTACAAGTCCAAAAAAATATCCATCTTTCAGAAAAATTGCATGTATACATCATACAAATTTAGCCAATACACATCCATACCCCTATAGACAAGTCAAGAGATGTTCCGAAAACTGTAAATATTACCTTTTTGCACCTGGCCTAATCACTATTTCCATATCAAAATCAGTAAAAATAAAACATCCAAAAATGTATTTCAGCTCTCTTCTTTCATTTCCACCCCATAAAAACTAAGAAATGTATGAGAAAGGGAAAGAAAAAAAAATAAAGAAAAAATAGACTTTAATTAAAGGGAACTATATTCGTGGACAACGAAAAGCGGGATCATTAATTGTGGTCTGGGGCCTTTTCCTTCATGTTTGATTTTTCATAAAAATAAAAAAAAATATTTAAGCTAATAATCCTTTGATATGTTTTTAAAAAAATATTATTTCAAAGTATTTTTCCAGCATCTTCAGAAAATGGAAACTCAAAACAAACAACATTCAAATCTACACAATAGGACAGAATTAAGATATTCTAACAGTCAATTGTTGAGAATACTTACAAACTGGCAAAAAAAGTTTGAAGTAACTTCCTGATATTTTGTTAAACTATCAACATGTCAATGAGAAATATTTTATGATACAGGGAATACTTTTGGTTGCCTGATGTAAGTGCAATAGAATACCTCCAAAATACAGTTAGAAACAAAATTGAAATACAAGCTAATCCCTAATTGTCCAAGATTAATCTTTTTACTATATTTGAATCATTTGAAGTATGTCAGAATATAATGTATAAAAATTTATACCAAATTCCCAAGTAAGTTTTTACCTTTATACATCTGTCTGTAGAAATACTGAAGATTCTGTTCTCCTCCTTGGCAATCATAAGGTAAAAGATTGGTGCATTATGTCCCCTTAACATGGCAGTTGGCTTTCTGTTGATTCAAAAGAATATACACTTTAAACCAAAACAGATTGTATTTTCGGAACAAAAAGTTGCATGCAGTTGTACAAAGTATACCATGATCTGGTAGTTGGTAAATAATAATTCACAGTACAAAATGTATAATTAAAATACTATGAAATTAAAGCAGATTAGAGAATCACTTTCGTAATACAACTTAACGTTTGAAAGTTCCACGCCAATATATGTACCTAAAGTTATGAACAGATGGGTAGACAAGGTGATTGCAGTATACCAAATGCTCTGTAAGTGGGCAATAAAATGTGTTGAACTATATAAAGAGTAGAAAACAGTATATAATTCATATAAATAAGAAGATGTGGTACGAGTGCCAATGAGACAACTATCCAACCAAGTTACAATGTGTAAAAAGTAAACAATTATAGGTCAAAGTACGGCCTTCAACACAGAGCCTTGGCTCACACCAAACAGCAAGCTATAAAGGGCCCCAAAAAGACTAGTGTAAAATAATTCAAACAGGAAAACCAACGGTCTAATCTATGTAAAAAACGAGAAATGAGAAATACTTATGAACAACATCAACAAACAACAACCACTGAACAACAGGCTCTTGACTTAGGACATAGGGGTTTCATTATCTTTCTTGTTGACTGCTAGATTCCTATTTGTAGCTAGTACTTTTCAATATATTCAATGAACATCTTACATAAAATTCCTGAATTCAGGCGGTACTTATTAGTAGCATAGGAGGGTAAAAGTACCGGATACCGCCTCCTAATGAATGGCCTGAGGGCAGGTGCATAAAAATGCAGCGGGGTTTAAACGTTCATTTGTGTCTGGTATTTTTAGGAATAAATATCAATTCACTTCTTTATACTTTAAGGTGGTACCCAACACCTTGACTAATATTAATTAGGCTCATTTAATTTTCATAAAAATTTGACAAAATGTTTACTTTGACCCTTTGACAAAAATATAAAAATTTCAAAAAATTTGAACCAACCACTTTATCAGAAAAATTTCATTGGTTATATAGCAGTTTGACAAACACTAATTTTGATCATTGAGAAGCTTAATATTTCCTTAACAATACAACGTAATTAAAACGTTTAGCTGATTTTTACAGAGTTATCTCCCTGTAGTGTTAGGTACCACCTTAACTAAAACAAAATGTTTAATCTGCTTTTTTCTGTATTAACATTTCCTACAGGTTAACTTTAACCTGGCATAGCATAAATTTATGTCTTCCTGTATTTTTTATAACACTGCTTTTGAGACAGAAAATGCTTTAAATTGACGCAATGATGCCTATATATCTAATATGGTATATTTTCTAAATGACAGAATGAATATAGTTATTTATATAAGTGTTGTTGAGCCTCATAGAAATGAAATGAATATAATAAAGAGGTTATAAGATAAAGTTTTACTTAACATGAGCAAGTACTTACAAATTCACATATGGATTCCATAACCGTACAATCCTGTCCATGCCACCAGTGACAATGATATTTTTATCTTTACAGAAATCAAAACATTTGACTCCTTTGTACACCTGAAATACTGCTTGGTCTGATGATTGTCTGGGTTTAGGTACAGCTAACATCTGTCTAAGCTTTGCCTTGTCCTGGGGATCTTTGGAATCTTTCTTTCCTTCAATGATAGACAAATTATATAAAAATTATATTCTTTTAATGCAAAGCAAAAATGACAGATACCACATGTTTTTGTCAATTTCTTGACCTTTTAATTGACCCTTATTAATTTCTGAAAACAGTTAAAACAAGTGTATTTCTTCATTTTAAGGACTTCTCTTTTACTTGTCTTGTGTGTGTCATTAGAAAATGTCAGTCCACCATCACCAAAAAAAACTTTTTTTATTCAGCCGAATTTTACTGAAAATAGTCTAGACTTGTTGTAGAATCATAATCTGTGAAATAATAACAAACTAACCCATTTTGAAACTATAGAACACCCTTGTTGTCCAAAACTGAAAAAGGTACCTAACAAATTAAAAGATAGAACCCACATGGTTTATGATAAAATTGAGAATGGAAATGGGGAATGTGTCAAAGAGACAACAACCCGATCAAAGAGCAAAAAACAGCCCAAGGCCACCAAAGGGTCTTCAACACAGGGAGAAAATCCCGCGCCTGGAGGCGAGCTTCAGCTGGCCCCTAAACAATAATGTTTACTAGTTCAGCAAAAATGGACGTCACACTAAACTCCGAAATGAACCAAAATTAAAAAACATACAAGACTAACAAAGGCCAGAGGTTCCTCACTTGGGACAGGCGCAAAAATGCGGCAGGGTTAAAAATGTTTAATGAGATCTCAACCCTCCTCCTATACCTCTATCAAATGTGGAATAAACAAACACACAGCAATACGCACAGTAAACCTCAGTTTAAAAGAAGTCCGAGTCCAATGTTAGAATAGGTAACAGAAGAAACTAAGCAAAATGACAATGATACTTCTTCTTATAAAAGACCAATTTGTTTACCTGCATTTTGTTGGCGGATCATTGATTGTTGGTATTCAGCAATTTCCTGTGATCTGTGTGAACTACCCATAATACATCCTGTACAACAGAACAAAAATTGAATTAATGGGTGCAGCTTTCAGTTATTGGTCATCATTCTGTTAAATAATGGAACAAAGAGATTTAGAGCTTTCTAAAGTGATGTGGACACCTAAACATTTATTTTGCCTGTAGATTTAGAGCTTTCTAAACTGATGTGGACACCTAAACATTTATTTTGCCTGTAGATATTGAGCTTTCTAAAGTGATGTGGACACTTAAACATTTATTTTGCCTGTAGATTTAGAGCTTTCTAAAGTGATGTGGACACTTAAACATTTATTTTGCCTGTAGATTTAGAGCTTTCTAAAGTGATGTGGACACTTAAACATTTATTTTGCCTGTAGATTTAGAGCTTTCTAAACTGATGTGGACACCTAAACATTTATTTTGCCTGTAGATTTAGAGCTTTCTAAAGTGATGTGGACACCTAAACATTTATTTTGCCTGTAGATATTGAGCTTATATTTTTCATATTTGAATTACAGATGTATTTTTCGATTTGTTTTGGGTGACCTTCCTTTCATGGAATTACAGCAGATGGAATAGGACAGCATGCAAAGATATTAATGTTGTGACGATACATCTAGATTACTTGTAGGATCTTACCTTTCACAAGTGCTGTGTCTCTATCATTGGAACAGGAGATTATCATTTTGATATCATGATAGTACTTCAACTGGAAATATAAATTGTTTTAAATTATATAAAGTTAGATCATTTCTAGTTACAGAACGTCAATATTATGTGTAAGAAAATATATGTATTGAATAAACGGGAAGTTGAAGAGCAATGGATTTGAAAACACATCACATGGTATACCATACTCACATAAAGCTTGATACCTAATTTCAGGATGCTCTGATTTGTAGTTGCTGAGAAAAACTGTGATGAAGTTTTCATGAGATGGACACACAGACAAATAAATGTTAAGAAGTATACCCCCATCTTTGGAGCAAATGATGACTATAAAAAGCCTTCATCTAAGAAAATACTGTTATTATGAACTTCAGCATCCATAATGAACATAACTTTGTTACATTTTAGATCTGGGTCTTTTACTAACCTGTTGAACCCAGTCTTTATGAACCTGCCATCTTATAAACATAGCTCTGTGTTTTTCTATGATTTGATCTAAAGATATACTTGGTATAAAACCTTGATGTCTTTTTTCTTTTTTCCATAACCTGTAAATGTAATTATACCATGTACTTTTATACTCAGGAAAAATAATGAAAAGCATGCTATTTATATATTTCTATTTTGCTTTGTTTTGATGGGTTGTTGTCTTTCTGATACATACCCTACATTTCCTTTTACTCATAACTTTTTATGAATGTGAATGAAAGTTATGGTTTACACCAATAAACCAGCAACCCATCAACACAAAAAAAAACAGCAATAAAAACATCCAGTCTGAAAGTCTTATCATTCAAAGGATACCTATGTTTACCTACTTTGTTGTTCATCATATATTTCATTGCCAATTAATTGAAAATCATCAATTGATTTGACATTTTGTCTTTTCTTTTGTGAGACAAAGGCAAACCTGGACATAATTATATAATGGACAGAAACAAATGTTCAGTGTTTGCCCACATGATTCTTATCACATATACCATGTATACATTGTTATTACAATCCGTTTCATTCTAATTAATAAATTAAGCCTAAAATCACAAATTCAAAACCAAAGAAACTAATAACTTTTCTATAGCAATAATGACAAATAAAATGCTCCGCTGCACGCAGCTTGATACAACCGCAGAGGTCGAACCCTGAACAGTTGGGGCAAGTATGGACACAACATTCAAGCTTGATACAGCACTGAATTTGGATTGTGATTAAATATTTGACACAGCATAGGTTTCTGACACAGAATGAATGTGGTCTAAGAACTTAAAAAATTTTAATTTACCTATTCAAACCATATCATTATTATTTGCTTTTATATATAAATCAGAAATAACCAATTTAAAATGGAAAATTTTAAAGAAAAAAAAAAATCCCTCCCCCAAATTTTTTGAACCCCCATATGATTCATCACCCCCAAACTCAATCCCAGCCTTCCCTTTGTGGTATGGTACCTTGCAGTACAATTTCAGAGAGATCCATACACTTGAACACAAGTTATTGTCTGGAAACTAGAAAAATGCTTGTTTTTAGGCCCCTTTTTGGCCCCAAATTCCTAAACGTTTAGGGCAATTACCCCCAAACTCGAACCCAGCTTTCCCTTTGTGATATGGAACCTTGTAGTACAATTGCATAAAGATCCATACACTTACACACAAGTTATTGTCCTGAAACTAGAAAAATGCTTGTTTTTTGCCCCTTTTTGGCCCCTAATTCCTAAAAGTTTGAGGCAATTACCCCCAAAATCAATCCCAGCCTTCCCTTAGTGGTATGGTACCTTGGAGTACAATTTCAGAGAGATCCATACACTTGAACACAAGTTATTGTCTGGAAACTAGAAAAATGATTATTTTTGGCCCCTTATTCCTAAACGTTTTAGGCAATTACCTCCAAACTCAATTCCAGCTTTCCCTTTGTGATATGGAACCTTGTAGTACAATTTCAGAAAGATCCATACACTTACACACAAGTTATTATCATGAAACTAGAAAAATGCTTGTTTTTTGCCCCTTTTTTGGCCCCTATCTCCTAAAATTTTGAGGCATTTACCCCCAAAATCAATCCCAACATTCCCTTTGTGATATGAAACCTTGTGGTACAATGTCAGAGAGATCCATACACTAACACACAAGTTATGTCTAGAAGTTACAAAAATGCTTATTTTTGGCCCCTTTTTGGCCCCTAATTCCTTAACTGTTGGTACCATAACCCCCAAAATCAATCCAAACCTTCCTCTTGTAATATTGAACCTTATGGTAAAATTTCATAGAGATCCATTCACTTAAACTAAAGTTAGAGTGCGAAAACCAATGTGTCTTCGGACGACGACAACGACGACGACGACATCATACCAATATACGACATAAAAAGCAGCCATAAATTGTCTAATTTTAATAACAGAATATCAGAATACTGAAACACATCTGAACATTTCATATCCAAACTGTTCCAATACATGGACTCAAATATAGGGGGGAAAAAAAATTTATTTTCACATACCTCAAAGATTCACCAGGATTTTTTATGACTAGAATATTAATACATCCTTGACTGTCACCAAATACAATTATACATTCATCTGTATTTGTAGCACTGTAAACATAATAAATAATGATTACTAAACAAAATATTATACTGAATATATCTCATAAAACAGATCAATTGTCTCCTTTTAAAAAAAATAATTTCAAGAATCTTAATTTTAAGATAATGCAACATATTTGACCTTGATCAACTTTTCATTTCTCGAAAATTCCTAACCAAAGACCCATACAGAAATTTAAAAAAAATGAATATTCCTTTGTCTTGAATCTTCCTGGAATCAGTTTGTAAAATGTATCTTGAAATGAACAGTATTGTCATGAATGAACAATTTATTAGTTAGGTCTTATGACGATTCTAAAATTAACATGCATAATTTCAGAGGATTATGATCTATATTGACTTATGCATAGTCTAAATAATGGTTCATGTGACATACCAATTGACTATAAAGGATCATCCTTTAACATTTGTGAAATTGGGGCCTTTTATAGCTGATTATACAGTATGGGTTTTGCTCATTGTTAATGGGTGTATGGTGACCTAAATCTACTGTTACATCCTTTGGTGTCTGGTGGAGATTTGTCTCATTGGCAATCATACCACATCTTCTTATTTTCTTTATCTGTGACATACCAATTGAAAATACAGGATCATGTGACTTACTAGAACTAATAAATCATGAGACTTAAAAATAGTCTTTATATGATCATGTGACTTAAAAATAGTCTATATTTGATCATGTGACATACCAATGGTCTTTAATGGATCATGTGACTTACCAATAGTCTAACTGTAAAGGTACTGATTCTAGACTACTGACTTGACAATATGGGTCAAAGGAGGATAACTCAAAGAACTGGATTTCTCTGTCACTGTAAAAAAAAAAATAATCAAAATTAAAAGTCAATCAGATACAATTTTCTGGCCTTTCTAAGCCAAAACAGTTAAAGCCTTCAAAATTAAAATAATATATTATCATTATAAACTGTTTTTTTCAAGTCATCTTTAATAAAGATAAAGAATCAATAAATGTCTTTTGGTTAGTTGTGTTGTTGGGTTGTTGTCACATTCACAGATACCCTATATCTTCTTTCAATTATCAAACCAATCAAACTATTACATTTATGCATACATGTATAAATTACACTACAGTTTTCTGTACTATAATGTTTCTGTTTTTATTACTATCTCAAGAATTAACAGATGACAGAATTTAGATACCTGACAAAAGAAACTTCAGTTCAAGCATGAACGTTTGATGTCAACAAAATTAAATCAATTCACTGTACCACAGTAACTGTAGAAGTTATATTACAAAACCTGTCACCTGTTGTCCACAATTCACTGTGAATAGTGTTATACTAACCCTGTGCCCACTATAAATTTGTTATATTCTGGCATGATGACAAAATCTGTGATCCATTTTGGTTTGGTTCTAGACATTGTTTCTGTGTTCTGGAATTATATATAAGTATTGGAGAGATAAAAATATCATATGTATTTTTATCTACAGCCTAAAGCTCTCAGAAAATTCAACTGACAGATAAAAGTTTTTTTTTATATTTTCCTTGAAGGTTTTCTGAAGCTTATGATGTGTTCATCGAAAAATAGTTACTTGGCAAAATTATTAATATTTATCATATTTATATCACAAGCATAATAGAAGGAACAATTTTTAAATATTTCTTAATAAAATTTCCTCTAATTTATACCTATCAACTTTGTATTTGTAAACTTTGACTATAAATTTACATGTATTGGTCTCAGATGTTTACAATAAATCTACCATTGTGTGTTTGTGAATTTGATTTTTTCAAAAATATGAATTTTTCATAATCAAGCTTTATCATTTTCAATAAATATTTTAGTTAGATTCTTTGAAGTGTGATCTTTCAAATTACTTACAACAATCTCTTTCTTTCTCTTCCATTTCAGTTCATTACCAGACATTCCCCAGAATGTAACTGTCCCATCCTGAAATAATATCAATTACATTTTTTACATGTTGTTGGTCTTATCCATAGAGTGTGATGGCCTGGATTACCGAAGCAGGTCAGCATGGAGTAAGAATAATATTGTGTCAAAGCAGACTGACATGTCAAAAATAGATCTGTGTTGAGCATAACAATGGGATTTCAGAGCTAAATGCTTGAAAATTGCAGTAACTTTTGAAGTTATATTAAAATGGTGGTATTAAAAGTCCTATTTAATCAAACTTTCAAAGATGATTTCAGCCTATTTTGTAATGCTCTAATGAAAAGTATTTCAGAAATATGTGCCCTGCAAAATCTGTTTAATACAATTTCAAAAGGTCCGGCATTAAGATTCACCAACTTTGATTATGACATTTACCTGACTGCAAGCTAAGAAGGATCCATCAGGATTACTTGTAATCCTCAGTATAGGATCTCTGTGAGGGGGACTAGCTATCTTTGCTGGTAACAGAAACTCCACTTCCTTAGATCTGAGGTAGGAGTCCTCTTTCTCAGCATACTCCAGCTGCATGTATGTACAGAACTCATCCCAAGTAATACCTCCATTGTACGACCAGTCAATCTTTTTAAATAGTGCTTCAATTTGTGCTTCCTGTAAAAGACATACAAACATTATGTATTAAATTTGTTCAGTGAATCTTGTCAGTTTAATACGGATTCAATATTTTCATTATATGTAACAAGTTCCCATTATCAAAGAGATCATTTTTGGAGCTGGTTTGATTTTACTGTAAGATGTATGCTCTTCAATTTATTGCTAAAGGCTTTCCAAAAACCAAACGAGGAACAACAATAAAACCACTGCAGCGTGAGTGTTCTAGCTAGGATTTTAGGACAGAGGGACAAAGTTTAAAGATAAAGGGAACTTTGGAAAAGTTTCTTGTCTGATAACAGACAACCTTATTATGTTTATAATTCAAAAATTTAAATCATCAGTATTAGTAAATGAACTAATGTATTGTGCTGGATTTTAAGTTTTAATTGGTTGTAATAAGCTTTTACCAGAAATTTATTTGCACCAAATTTTACAGTTTTTTTTTCTTCAGAAAACAAAACTTCATAGGGTAGACTATTGATACAGAGGGGTGCACAAAAAAGGCACAGGGAGCAGTGCCCCTAAATTTTGTGCTAGCTAGGACACTGCATTTTTACTTACCGGTATGTAAGGCCATTAATTTCAAAATGAACTGGCATGTGAAGTGCTTGTTATAAAGAATTCTTTTTTCAAAAGTCATAGTTTTCTCCCATGACAACATATATCTGTCTGGGGGAGTAAGTAATGGTGAAAATCCTTCTTAATTTCAAATTTAGATGAATGCATTTCAACTTAAGTGTTTATAGAGATGAAATTTTTCAATAAGAATTTCCTTTCAAAAAAAAAGTATTTCAATTTCTACAATTAGCATTTTGATTGTATTGTTATGCACTTGCCTGATTAAACATAAAGAAAAAGACACAAGCATTACATATTATTTCATAAAATAGATATTAATAACCTATCGATCAATATATCAACCCATAGATCACACTTTCTTATGCAAGTATAAACAGCTTATTACTAAATCTTCATAATCATATTAACCTTTAAAGGATTAAATAGTATATCTTGAGTATTTGACTTAATTTTCACAAACCAGAATTATATATTGCGTTGGAATAATCAATTATACTGGTACATATATTGTATCTTTCAATCATATAAAGGAACTAATCTAACTGAATTATGGGAAAAAACACTACAAACAGAAACATACCCATCTTAAAACAAACAAACAAGAATATTTTATAATAACACAGAGATTTAGGATGTAGATAAAATTATCGGTTTTCAAGAGCTAAATCGACAGTGTGTCATCCCTACAGGCTCAAGACCACAATTAATGACCCTGCTTTTCGTTGTCCACGAATATACATTGTAGTTCCTTTTAATCAGAGTGTATTTTTTCTTAATTTTTTTTCTTTCCCTTTCTCACTCATTTCTTAGCTTTTTTGGGGTGGAAATGAAAGAAGAGAGGTGAAATAAACTTTTGGATGTTGTATTTTAACTGATTTTGATATGGAAAGAGTGATTAGGCCAGGTGCAAAAAAGGTGATATCATATTTACAGTTTTCGGAACATCTCTCGACTTGTCCATAGGGGTATGGATCATGATGTGTATTGGCTAAATTTGTAAGATACTGGAGAGCAATCTTTCTGAATGTTGGATATATGTTTGGACTAGTACTGTACTTTACACACACAAAATATTTGACAAAAAGATTTGGTGCATTTTTTTTAATGAAACAAAACGTTATAAAGAACTAATAGAGGAATTTAATTGTGGTCTGTGGCCTACAATGGCTTCCATTTTCAAGGTTTAAAAAAATTAGGTGGAGTAATGGGGAGATAATTTTGACAAAGTGAAATCTTGACTGACAATGACCACAGCTATCATTACACACCAAAACATAAGTTTGGGAAAGTAATAGTCGGGTGTGAAATTGGGAAAAATAACTTTTACAATAAGATCCATCCGATTATCTCCCTTGACAACTTGTAGATAATTGGTCAAATTGAATTAGTAACTAAACAACCATGTTTGGCAACAGTAATACAGCACACTTGATGAAAAGGAGCACCGAAATGAAAACTTAGTAACCTCACAGGCTCAGTGAATGAAAGAACAGAGTTCCAATGTCCATCGCATTGCACATATTTTATCTATTTAAGGTACAAGGGCAATAACTAAAATAATCTAGCAAGAATTGTACACATTAGAGCGCTCACAATGCAATTGATTTTCAAGCTCGTCTAAGACATTGCTGATATAAACCTTTGATATAAGTTTTGCAAAAATTCTGGCAAGAATTGTACACATAAGAGCACTAACAATGCAATTTTCCATATAATTAATGTTTCCAGGGGGCATAACTCTTTCAAAAATAATTGATCGGCACTAATTTTCAAACTCATCAATGACATTGCTGATATCAACCTATGATATAAGTTTCATAATAATCTGGCAAGAATTATACAAATGAGAGCACTTACGATGCAACTTTCCATATAATTAATGTTTCCAAAGGGCGATAACTCTTTTAAAAATAATTGATCGGCACTGATTTTTGAATTCATCAATGACATTGCTCAGATATAAACCTATATATATGATATAAGTTTCAAAAAAATCTGGCAAGAATTGTACACGTGAGAGCGCTAACAAGACCAGACGGAAGGACGGTTGGTATTTCTATGTCCCCTGCAACACGTTGCATGGGGACAATAACCAGTTGCTAAGGTAGTGATTGAAGAGGACGTGGTGACTGAATTAATCTCATTTGTATATATCTTCCTTAAAAAAATATTTAACGACAACAAAACCATTCTTTTAAAGTAACATCAGTATAAGGAGTACTTACTTTAGTGACCCTAAGGTTCAATCTTGCCTTCAGTAAAGCTTTAAATTCTTCTAGATCTAACTGTCCCGACTCATCCCTGTCTGCTCTCAAGAATGCCTTTTTCAATTCTTCCAATGTATTCAAATCGATCTGTTCTTCAATCTGCAATTAATTATTATACATGTAATATCCATTCATCAATTCATGATAACTTTCAATGTTAAATTATTCACAGCAAAATATTAAGGAACCAGTCACTCAAAGAAAAAATTCAATAAACTAAATTCAAATTCATATTATTGTTTACTCACCAGTGAAATTAGATCTATCATCACAGTTCTATATATATCTGTATAAGTTGGATTTTTATGGCAGTTTAAAGTAACTATGTTGGTGTTCTTTTTTGAACAATTTTGTAGATATTGTTTACAATATGTTTTTATAAAAAAACTTTTGCATATACATTTTTTTATATTTCCACTAAAAACCCTCTTTCAACAAAAAGAAATGTTTTGTACCATGCTCTAGACCTTTTAAAATTTATTCCTACTCTTTAATAAAACTCATTCACAATCCCTTTTTATAAGACATTTTCATTTTATGAACTTTTTTAATAAGTTAACCTAGCTGTATACTCTATCATCCATTCATGGACAGAGAATTTGAACTAGGATAATCTTTTTGTATAGTTTGTTGCAAGAAGTTATGTATGTTTGTTTGTTTGTTGATTTTTAAAGTTTTTTTCAATACATTCCTACATATAGATATATTTGGTTGTTTGTTATATTGAAAGCTAAAAAAATCTTTCATCTTTAAAATGAGTTTACAGTTTTCTAATACGATCAGGTTAAAAAAAAATCAAAATTCGAATCTAAGTCAGAATTGTACCCCAGTCATGACTTGATGAATTTCATTGGTTGCTGAAATTATTATGTTGGCCAAGACCAAACCATGATCAACTAAATTTTAACCTTAAAACTGACCAGTCAACAATCTGAAGTTGACTCAGACTATTGAACAAATACAACATACAGTCACCATTCTATATTCCTAATGTCAAGGGTATTTAACTTATATATACATTGCAATTTTTAATAATACATGTAAATACTAAATTCAATTAAGGGCTTCATACAAACATTGCATTCAGTTTCATATAATTTCATTTTTCTATTTCTAGATGTTTGCATCCATAACCATTTTAGGTGAATACCAAATCATAAAAAGCTATTCATACGTTTTATCAAACAGTAATATCAAATAAGAGTTTATTCTACACTTGAACATAATTTGATTTAAGGATAAAATTGTTTGTTCTACAACAATAAAACTGTTCATAAAAATTACAGAGGCATTAAAACCCCACTGTTCATATTTTAAAATTTCACTTATCATAAACAATAAATTGTACTCTGATTATTATTAAATTCATAGCAACCATAGATTTCTGCAAACACTGTAAAATATTTAAGTTTTCTAACCATACAAAAAAAGTTTAGATCATCCTAAAAAGTAAACATTTATCATTCTGAAACCAGAAAGTTTCATTTGTTCAAAAGTCTGAGTCAACTTTAAATTTTTTTCAGTCATAAAAGATTTAAATTTAGTTGACAAATTATATTGTCGAAGTTTACAATATGTTATGAAAAATAAGCGAAAAAGAACAAATGTCAATATGACAGCAAACCATCAAATAAAGGACATAAACATGGATGGATCAGTGTTTTCATGAATTTTTCTAAATCCACCTAGATAACAATTTCAAATTTGAGCTTTAATTCATCAAGAATTTAAGGGATAAAGTCACTCATTTAACTGCATACTGAAAAGTCAGACCAATATTTGCTGCTGAGGCATACATGACTGAAATGGGGAATTCAATAAATAGATTGAATTAAACAGTTTTCCATGTAAATTGCCCTACCATTCTTCCTTTTTTACCCCATTCATCCTTCTGTAAATGATTGGTTATATGAAATTACCCCTTATATATATATATATTAATGCAGAAAAAGTGCTGCCCTCTCTTTTGCACCCTAACCCAACCCCCCAAAAAACTAAAACTACATGCTCGAGGCATTAAGTGGGTGGGATATATTCACTAAATATATTTCTGCACAACAAGCATATCATACAGTATCATATTTTTGGGTTCTAAATGGACTCAAGATCATCAAGTCCCATAGAATGACCTCTAGATGTCTGATTCTTAAATTAGCTTGTAATTATAAATGATTGTTTGTTGCTAACTTCCAGGTATATACATGTATTGCATAACTAAATTATTGAAAAAAGTCTATTTCATGACCCTAGCTATGAATAATCAATCTAATGTATTGAAAGTTATTTAAAAATTACTTCTTAAATGCAGAACTCCCTGTAAAAGACACATTTCACTTTCAACTCACCATATTCTTAAATGCTATAATGCTTTTTTTATGTAGTGACATAAAAAAGCCTTGAAAAAGATTTTTGTGGACAAAAAATATGTATATTTCATTTCATTTTTCCTTTTATAAACAAATATTTAAATACACTGTTGGATCAAATCATTTTTTTCCAGGGAAAGCAGTGAAATCTAAACAAAGCGCTATTGTAGGATTAATCAAAGTATTGCAGTGAGTGAATGCACAAACAATGATTTTCTGTGAGATGTATAATTTTAAGGCTTCAGGTGCGACAATAGCAAAGATCTTGACTTGGAAAGCATCTTAATAAGCTCTTCAAATAGGCATGAAAATCACAATAACAATGAATATGCAAGGTTTGATAAAAAATTAAGCTGCTACTATCCTGTTTTAAAAGAAAGTCTTAATGAAGGGTTTCCTAACAATGAAATGATTGTATATATCAATATAACCTCACATTTTTAATTTGATTATCTTCAGTAGATAAATATCATAATCAACAGAGGTGGTGTGGTAGAATCTGTATATATGATGTACCAGGAGTTATATATAAGTCTGAAAGAGACTGCTGAACATTTGCAAGCAATTGCTTCAATTTAGAGGTCCTTGGCAATCACTTTTTTGAGTAAAAGGTCAAATGAAATGATTCAAATTCCTGGATTCAGTGCAAATGAAAACACTCTACTGTCCTGGAAATATCAGGATCTAGCTATATATATAGGTAAACACTTTTTTTGTCTGTGAATTGTTTTGCATTTTTCACTCCTCAACCTTAACAAAAATGAATCTTATACTGCAATTTTCATAAAAACTTGGCACTATTAGATTAATTGATTAACTGTCGGTTGCTTAACGTCCAGTGGCAATTATTTCATGTATATTCAGGGCGATGCACTTTTAGACAGAAATAATTTAATAATTCCTTGGATTCCCTGAGTCAGTCAAAATGATAATCTGATTGTTTGTCAAATTTTAAGCATTATAGAAGTATGATCCATTGGTAACAGACATAACATTATTTTTTTTAAATCAACCTAAAAATAAGTTAAATCTTTAACAATTTGTTTTATTTAAATATGAAATAAAAGGACATTGATAATTACTGTAGAATTTTCCTACCTCAGATGTATCTCCATAAACTTGATGCCTGAATGAAGGAGCCGAATCTGTGGAGTGATCTACCCTACAACTTGACCTACTTGTTCTAAACAATAGCTGTGCATTTGAAAATTCAGAGGTCCAGTCTCTTGGAGAAGTACTGAAACTACGTCCAAGTGAAATAAGACTTCGTCCACTCAGTGGCGTGACTGGACCTACTCCATCTTGAGTTAGAAATGTACTACTTCTTATTTTACGGAAATCTTCATCAGGTGTTTTGTTTTGTTTTGGATCCTTGTGAGAATGAGGTCGAATTTTCTGGCTTGAAACAATATTTTTCAAATCCCTGTGAACATGCGCCATTGTTCCAAAGTTTTATAAATTCACTTTAAAAAAAAAACACCAGAATAAATTTGAATACTTTTTTTTTGTTAACAAATAAAACTATCCTAGATAGAAAAAAGTAAAATTCAATAATCCCTATGCAACAACGCTAAACAGAAGAATAACTCCAAGATTTTCTATCAAATCCATCTTTCTTATAACGGATTTCCTTCCTGTCAAATCGGATGCCGTCAATAAATTTCAGTCTCATTTAAATATATTATATCTAAATACGATAAATCTCATCATAAATTTCTTTATGGTGTGTCCGAGTAAATATTCCATAAGAAGTTACAAGTCTAATAAAGTCACCAAATCAATTTTCTTTGTGGATTTATTTAGATTTATTTGCATCATAATTTAATATATGGAATAATATATCATGTACAGACTGTATACCTGCCGACTGCTCCTTAAATCTTTTGTGAATGATAATTTTATCATATGAGATTTTATACTTTGAAAAGGTACAATTGATCATTTATGCAGATTTAAGGTGAGACTACATGAAATAATCGGAAACAAACGGTTTTTCATAGTGAAAGTTTGTGTAAGGAAAACAATTTGAATTTTTGTTTTTCATGATAAATGTTATTTTATTGTTATTTACATCAATGTTAATCTAAAATCTATTCAAAATAAATATTTAGAAACAGATTAATTGAAATTTATTATTGTTATTTTAGTGAAAATAGATTGTAGTAATTCATCATTATAAAAAACAGTCAACAATAGATGAACGGTGTTTGGGATTCTATAATGGTGATTTCTAACAATCTTAAGGGCATGCGAACATCAGACCTTAATGCTTTAAACTAAACTTGATTTTGAAGTCATCTGTACCTTTATAGACCACGTAACTGCTTTAAAGACCAGGATGTTAGATAAAAAATAAATTGGGTTTATATTTGACAAACAATAATCAGTATTTACTAAAATGAGTGCAGTTGAACATCAAAACTTGAAAAGAATTGATAATGTCTTATTCAGGTATCCATGATTATAAGGATACTCCTGTTTACAGCCATAAATAGTACTTAGTATGGTATGGATAACTTGAATGTCTTTGGTTTGACCTTGCACTGACAGAATCATTATCTACACTAGGTGATGTCGGTAAATTACTGTAAGTATAGTTTTTGTTTTGGGCTATTAATAATTTGATTTTGTATGTACATTTTAGTATTCTCAAACATACTCTGGCCAATTCTTTATTAATTTGTAGTTTCATTCATACTCTCAGCAATATTTTGTTTTTCTCACTTCTTAAAGTGTACTTTATTTTGGAAAAATTTAAATTGTATTTTACCATTCCACAACTGATCCAGAATTCAAAATGCCAGTTCCAATTAATGTGATGGCAGTTTTATCCAAATTTTTGCAATTATAAAAATGTTCCGAAAAAAATTTGTCATTTCAAATTTGAACATTGATCAGAACCAACAAAATTAGCAGATGACTTATGGCAATCTGAGAAATGCTCATCCCAATTTTTCGCAATTATGAAAATATAACTGAAATTTAATAATTAGTTCAGTCCATGAAATGTAATTTTTTAACCCAGGACATTAGACAAAGGTCATTTATAATGTTGCCGCGATATAGCCTTTTTGTGCTGATGTGGCGTAAAGCAATCACCAATCAATCATTGCTGTATAGTAATATTATCATTCAAATCAGAGACAAGTTTCATTGTGTTTGTTCATAAATAAAAATTATCATTTACACAGTGTTTAAAAATACCATTGACATTTCATTAATTATTTTATTATATGTCTATTCAACTTACAATTAAACACTTGGCCACAGTAGATTTCACCATAATTTACTAAAATTTGAAAGTATTTTTGACTGACAGATTATGTGTCTATTGATGTGAAATCAGGTCAATTCAATTTCAGACAACAGAAATGTATAAAACCTTACAGTATCATGGAGCAAATTGAAAACATGCCAAACTGTACTTTCAATGGTATTTTAAAATGCAGTGTATGACAAATGAGTGTAGGAAATCTGTCATTATATAATCAAATGTTCTTCAGGAATTAAGGCTCTATGTGAAACTCTTCAAGAATCTGTTAACACTAAAACTAACAAAAACTTGATCTAAACTAAAATAATAAGAAAGTTTTTCTTTTATAGAATAAGTGCTTAAATTAAAATCTTAAAAAATTCAAATGACAGGTGATTGATAAAATATTCATGATTATTGTGTTAAAAAGTTTGAAAAAATAAATGTAAAATGATTTTAAATGTGAAACAAGAAGTTGTATACCAAATCTGTGAATATCCTCTTTTTTTTTAATTTTATAATAATAACAATGATCAGTACAAATGTATATAGGGAAAAAGTGTCTCCTGTGCATCCTCATTATAATCTGGCTTTGCTTATCATTCCAAACATCTGTGCATTTCAGAATAATTAACAGGCAATTATGATTAAAGATACAAAGCCATTCAGAAACTCATTCAATTTCAGTAATTTTCAATCTTAACAAATTATCAGTTCACCACACTTGGTTTCTAATTGTTGTACTGTATTGATTCTGACATAAGCAAAGTTAATGAGAAAACTACTGGGAGACAGCAGAGATGAAAGAGAATTTATTTGTCCTGGTTCAAATTTGGTATACAGCTTTCTTTATATATAATTTTTATAAAGTTTAAAATAAAAAATAAAGGGTGCATAAAACTTCTAGCAAAATGGTTCATAAAACAATTACACTGACGAAACAGAATACACACACAGCTAAAGACAAGCAATGTTTACTTACTCTCTTCTAATAAGGTAGAAAAAATGATAATCAAATTAAAAATAATGTACATCAATATGATTTTGGTTTTTTTTTTCAATTGAGGACCTATTGACTGCATGGTAATAAACAATAATTACAATAAGCAATAATCATGAAATTAAACATCACACAAAGCAAACATACGTACACATGTAATTATTACAGATTTCTGATTAGAAAATTTTCAATCACATAAGAGTTGTTTCCCCTGAAGAAACAAACATCTGACTTTTTCATCTTCCAGCATGCCTTAAATCCATGAAACAACCTGTAAAAATCTGGTTAACAGGGCTACATAAATTTGTGCTTCTTATTCTCTGAAACAAATTTCCAATTAGTGCTCCCACACTGATGACGCTAAAACCTGTTATAGATTAGTCTATTCAATTTAATGGAACATGAATTATCCTTTTTTTGCAATTTCAGAAAATGTCTCCCACTCAATTGTTTTGTAAGAGTTATCTCTTATTCTACTTGGATATATCCTTTTTCTGTTTATGCTATAAAAATGTCATTTTGACTCAATGAGGCCTCAGAATTATTAAAATTAGATCTATATTAATGTCATTAAGGAATATGATTAAACAAATATAAATTCTCCATGAGTGTCAATGTAGTTGATGTTGGAGAAATTTTCAAATGAAAATATACATAGATATAAGAAGATGTGGTATGAGTGCCAATGAGACAACTCTCCATCCAAGTCACAATTTGTAAAAGTAAACCATTATAGGTCAAAGTACAGCCTTCAACACAGAGCCTTTATACATGTATAATTGCTAAAATTTGCTGTATAATTAGGGTTGGCAAAAACAAAACAAAAGTTAAACATGAACTGAACTACAAAAACAGAAAATTCAATGTTCTAAACTTGAGATCTCTGATGAACAACCTAAAATAAAATGAGATGCTCTAACAATTTTCTACATCAAAAAATATAATGAAGACCTACCTTTAGAGAGTCATTAAATAAAGATTCCCTTGGACTCTCATCTGGAACTTTTTCATTATTAATCATAATATAAAACGCTTCAGACAATGTCATTGAAACACGATCCATTTTGAATCCTTTATAATTTGAAAAAATATCTAAAATAGTCACAGCCACTCAATCTATATTAACGAAGAGCTCCATGTTCAATAGTTTTTATATTTGAAAAACGTTCAGATAATATTAATAACATTTTGCTTTAATTTCATCATTTGGTATAATTGTCAATTCCAAATGACAATTAAAATTTGATATATTTTTCATATTCTGGTTATCAATTTCATGCGTCAGTTATTCCCCTTAATTCAAAGTACAAATGACAATAAACAGCTGGATCGTCAATTACTAATTCCATATTAATGTTTATTTTATTATAAAATTATCATAGCCAACATTAATCCTGGATTAAAAATATTTCTATCCACAATTTCGCAACAACAAAAACAAAAAGTTATTAAAGATAGCATTGCGTAACTTTAAATAATTAAATAATCGCGGATGTCTCCAAAACTATTTATTGAACTGAACACTCTTCAAAATAAACATTTCCTGACTGTGTCCATTTCTCCATGAAATTATTACTATTAATAAATTGACAAGAATAATTACTAGTTATAAAATGAAAATGATGTCTCATTGCCGTAGATACTGCTATTATCGATCACTTTATGTGACAAAGTCATGCAAGTTAAGTTTGTTAATCGCGGAAGCCATCAACAATTTAACGATCATAATAAAGCCATAGTTAATCCATGAAATAAAATGACTATTGTTTAATTTGATGTAAAGTTAACATGCAAATTTAAAAAGATTTTCTCAGAATTTTATTTCCTATTACGGAGATGATTTATTCTCATGAAAGTGTTACATGCTATAGATGATATGGAAGAAAGGGATGAATAATTAATTTCTTCAAGTTCTACCTGATCAATAATGTATTATTTTCTTATTTTCAAATGCTTTTCAATTTTCTTTACAGAAACAAAATTATGTATACTTAAACATAAGCTTTTCATTTACTTCAGATTGGAACAATCAGATAACTGAAATATTGATCAATAGTCACTGTAAATTAGGCCAAAGCAATATAGTTTTTTTCTAATTTAACCTTTCTCCTTAGCAGGGCATCTCAAAGGTTGACTGGGTATAGAAAATTAAAAAGTTCATCTTCTTCAGACCAGTGGTAAAACCCTCTCCAAAGTGAGGCATCCATTTGGCTGTGCGAGATGCATAACTTCTAAGCCATATGTCTGTTCAGAATGAGGCAGATGACTCGAGTAAGGAGAGTGCCACACTCTATGCACAGAAAGAACCCTTGTAGCAACTCTTCAAGGGGTCTGTAGGTGGTCTGTTACAAGACTGAATTTCTGTCCCTATCCAATGTACACTCATTTTCCAGTGGCATTCAAAATTTTAACCCCATCTACCCAGTCGACCCCTTATTCCTGACCTACCAATTGTATTTCGTTAATTTGTTCTCATCCTGATCATGCATGAAATATTTGCACTGGAATGTTAAGCAAACAACAAACAATCATTTAATATCCAGGGAATGAGGAAGGAAATTTAATCTTCCAATAATTCATTTTCAAATGTAAAGTAATTATATAAGAAACAGGCTGGACAGGTTAACCTTTGATCACTCAGGATAAAATAAATACTCTTCAGAAATGCTTCAACTCTTATTTTAGCTTTGTCTGATAGAATTACAATTTTCACAAACATTCTGTAAAAGTTGAAAAAAAAATTCTGAGTTATTGCCCTTCTATCTTAATAATAATTATTCAGTCCCAAACTCAACCAAATCAGTATCTTTTTCTTTCTTTTTTTCGGGGGGGGGGGGGGGGGGGGGGGGGGGGAATATTTTAGGGAAATTCATTTAAAAAAAAAAAACATTAAACATTCAACACATCATATACATATGCATGAAGAAAATCAAATGAGAAAGCTTATCATCAGATTTAAATTTTGAACATTATTTTTTTTCCAGATTTTATCGTAATTATGTTCTTTGAAAAGCTAAATATGCAGTATAAAGAGACTTACTGTAATATTTTGATTCTGATTTTTACCATCATTTTCATTTCTAGATGAAATATTTAAGGGTTGAGCAATTTCCTTAAATCCAACACTTAAATTTAAAATTTCCACAGAAAATGGTTTTGTTTGTAATAATTCATCTAGATGTTTGTTAAATATCTTATCAGCCATTGTCAAACCAGAATCTCCACAAGAAAATCAAAATTGATCTAAATCTAATTATTGTAGATAGGGCCAAAAAAGAGTGATTGTCTTTAATATTTTATTAAAATGTTCCTCCGAGCAGAAGTCTTTCTTTGGCATTAATTTCCCAAGAGTATTCTTCAGAATGTTTATGTATTTACCAAAGCTAACACTAACCAATATTAGATTAAACCTTTGTAAAACAGGTCCAGAAATACATGTACAGTCACCCTTGGGACCAGAGAAAACTGACCTTATAAGAGAGCCATTGAATTGAGGCTCAAAATGTATCTGTATTAGTACAGTGGAATGAGATGGGTTTTTGCTGAATAGAGGTGACCTTCATTGCAGGTTTGACTATTATTGTTTTACTTGTTAGTATTAAACAAAAATTTCTGGATAGACAAATATACAATATTCATGTAAAGGTATTGGTTATTCTATAATACGATATCTACGTGTAGCACAATATCTAGAAAATAATATCAAAATACTCTTGAATGTAAAATATCTTAAACACTGTTGTGAAAATTGAAACACTGAAGTTTTCATTCATATTATGTCTTACTGTTTTTGATTTTTTAAGAATAAAAAGGCTTTTTTTCTCTTTTGCCACATAAAAATAACTTCTAGATTATCATTCTACTCTGAGTATTCCTGTAAAAGATTATGGCAGGTTTATGGATTTTGATTATTATTTTTTTGCTAATTTTTCACTTTAACTCTTAGGAATTAATTTCAATAAAATAAATCTAAAAATTGAAAAATAAAAAATTTCAAATTAGAAAAGAAATTTAACAAAGTGGGGATAAGAATACGGTACATCATTTAAATTCATGTAGCCAAAATTTTAATTTGTGATAGAAAATCTTTAGCATTGTTTATATAATTAGTGGATGGCAAATGTTTTGTTTTAGGAAGGAATGAATAAAATCTTAAAATATTTAAACTGCTGCCTAATGTTTTAAAAAATTCTAAATGGTTATTTTGCTGTTTAGAATATGAATATGTTCCCCAAAAATCTTACATTTTTACTTTTGTAAATCTGGACTATGGACATGAAAAAAAAACCACAGACTTCTGTGATGAACTGCCCTTTAAAAGAATCATTCTGAAAACCTAAAAGTTGTTTCCTTCTTTAAATGGTTAAAAAGATTCACTTTAAAGAAGAGCAGTAGTGAGTAGCAGAGAGTCACTGTTGAATTGTTATGCAATAGTTGGTTAACATGTATATGTATATAAATTTCTAATTTGCCAAGGTTTGAATTAACAAAGCTCGAATATTAGGCGATATTAAGTAAGTTTTAAAAGGTATATTTTTTTCAGATCCTTACTCTTTGATACATTTTACCAGCATATTAAGTATTTATTACTAGGAAAAACATTAACTATTTACATGTATATATTATCAAGAGTCATATTTTATCTTTTGTAAGGGTTATATTTTCACATTTGTCATTCAAATATATATCTTATTTAACAAGTACGCTAAAAATAAAAATTTTAAAATCAAAATAAATTAATTTGCTTCAAAATTGAAAAAAAAACAACATAAGAGTGTCTTGTAACTTGAAAAAATACATGTACAAATGTAGCAGGTTTTATGCAACTTTACTGTCAGACAAAAAGTTTTTAAATCATGATTCAAAGTATGAATTGCATGGAATATAATTCACTATGAAAGGCAACATTGTCAAATAGTTTGATAAATTTCACACTTTTATGAATAAACAGCTGATGAGACACGCCCCCTTTTATACCGGAAGTAAACATGTTGCTACAACAAACCTCCATTTTGATGCTTAATAAAAGGTCGATAATGATTAAATCTACCATAAATAAATGATTTCCAAATGAAAAAATCTTGATTCTGTAAATTTATTACTCCTACAAGTTAATCTAAGAACAATAAAGATAAAAGAGACCGAATAATAAGGATGTTTTATAGGTTTTCTACACGCACGTGTTTTCTTTACCTGTAATTTGTAAACAAACAATAACAAATGAAATATCAAAGTATCAAACAGTAAAACTGATTTTCTTACTTTATTTTTCAGTTGATCTGAAATCTGTCCATTACCAGATCTTGGTCGATTTTTAATCAAGTCAGGCTGAAGCCCATCAACAGTACCGAGTGTGAGTCGACGAGGCTGTTTTTGAATTTCTTGAAGTCGTACATCTGCTTGAGGCGCTCGATACTGTCTCCGTGGGCCAGCCTGTGTCACGGGTCTGGCGGGTAACGCACCTTTCTCCTGTGTTCGTAAAGATGAAGATGAAGCTGTTGAGGGTCTATTACTATCGAATAAACTTGTTGAGTAACATGGATGAGACTGCAGATTTGGTCCAGCCGAACTGGGACGTATTTTCTTTCTCATTGTCGCGGTTTGTGGTCTTGTCGTCGGCATATTGACACCCGGGGGCTGGCCGGCAACAGCCTCCAACAATTTTTCCTCAAAAGGTGTAAAGAAATCACTCCGTTTCAATGAACCTGACGACCACGGACTTCTGTCCCCTGCTAACTTCCTGTGAAGGTCAGTTGAAGTAAGGGTGGCCTCGTTCCTGTCCCAACGTAAACAAAATATATTTTAAAGATCTTTTGTGTTTGATCGAATTCAAAAGATTTAACGATAATGTTGATTGATCAATAGCTTATGATATAGACATTTTTACCTTCAAAGAAATGATTAATTATCAACATATCGTCATGCTGATACATATTAAGATTCGTTAAATTGAAAATTTATTGAGCTTATAGTTGAGTCAGAGACATATAATACAATTATATGTCTGGTTGAGTGTCCTTATTCCATGTTATTTAATCAATAGAGTCTGGATTTTTTTTTGAAATAATTTAATTTTTAAATCGTTTATAGTTCATCTCATTCAATCTAAACATATCTATATATTATATATATGAAAACATGACATATGCATCGAAGTATAACTCAAAGCCGCATGGACACAGGGAGTTCGGGGTTTTGGAGGGGGCGTAAAAAGTCTATGCATTAACAATATATGTAGACCCTTAAAGGGGGACAGGGCTCCCTAAATTCGCCTCTGGCATGCCCCCTTTGATTGGAAAATATATCATATCATTTTAAGAATAAAATAGTCAAAATAAATAGTATTCATTTATATATAAATATGGAAAATCGCCTCTCCCCCCTTTTTCACAAAATCCTGGACCCGCCCATGTAAACCACATCGGATTATAAGTAAAAAAATCCATACACAGTTTTACAGACATCATAACTGAAAATCAACATTCGAAATGGCCATTAACACTGTAAATCAAGTTCGGCCAATTAATTGATACATAACCTTCGTGAAATTGCACCACATTGATATATTTGGCATTGACATTCCAAAAAGTGACCCATACCCGTGGCACGTCTGTGTATACCTTTATATAGGAAGCGCCCACCTTTTCCGTGATGGAAACTTATCAATTAGTCCTTCTGTATTTCTGTCGAAAAAAATGAAAGAACAACTGTTATTGAAATACTATTATAAAAAAAGGAAGATATGGTAAGATTGCCTATGAGACAACTCTCCACCGGAAACCAAATGACGACTATAGGTCATAGTACGGCCTTCAACAATGAGAAAGACTATAGTAAGAATATTATCGTCAGATCTATTCTATACCTAGACGGAGTCACTGATTATACAATATATATTTGTCCATTAAGAAACAAAAGAAGTCACTGCACGTCCAACCAGATTCAGTACACTAAAAAAATTGCTGAAACATATAATAGTTAAGTTCATTTTCTTCTTGATTAGGTGTATCGATCAATGAAAAAAAACCGTGTCAGACTTTCAAAAATACACGTAAAGATTTTCAGTAAGCTGAAATTATTGATTATCATATTCAACATGTCCAATTTCGACATATTAGAATATATAATTATACTGAATTGTACTTTTATCCAAAATTTGACTGACAATAAAAATCATAAATCTACAACATGAAAATAAAATTTGTAGGAATTAAAAAGACAAAGTATTCAACACAAAACATTTATTTTACTAATAACAAAAACTTGTCAATTCATATTTTTTCATAAAGAAAATAAACAGAAAAATGTACACACACGCACAAACGAAAAGAACACAAAAGAAAAATACCTTCTTTCCGTTTCTAGCATTCTGTTTATTAGCCTTTCTTATTTTAAAACTGGTCAGATGCACAATTATTAGCAATCTCGATATAAACACCATATAAAGGTATATCTATTAATTAAAAAAAATATATACAAATAAAACATTGAATCTCAAAAAAAGAAATTTACAACGAAAAACCAATACGCACGCGTACAAAAGCATCACGGAAAAGGGGGGGGGGGACTCAGTAATATGTATGTTTATTATCTGGTGTATTTTCCTTAAAAACTAGAAGTTCAAAGCAATTCGGAAGACAGCATGTCATCAATGAGTTCTATACAAGAAATATATTTTCGAATATAAAAATAAGGAGATGTGGTATGATTGCCAATGAGACAACTCTCGACTAGAGACCAAATGACATAGAAGTTAACAACTATAAGTCATCGCACGGCCTTCAACAATGAGCTAAACACATACCGCATATAGGCATAAACTTACGGCCTTCGCATATAATCGTATATACCTTAGACTGATGGATCCTTTTCTTTTAGACATTTTGAAAGTGCAGGTCCGAAGTCAGCTAGTATTCTTCTCTTCACATTTTGTGTTTGACTGACTGTAGATGTTCTATCCCATTTCACATTCAAAATAAATTTCAGCACACCATTATCTATCCTCCAAACGTGGTTACGTTTAGAAACGTATTATGACGTTCTTGGTAGAAACCTAGTGACGGTAACGTCGACTTTTATTATTCGAATGTCAAAAACTTACTCTTTTACTTGTTTTTACATGTACATATTTTTTCTACCGTGTCGTCATAACTTTTATTTTTTTTACAAATGGAAGCTGTACAATATTTTCAGACATTGATCGGATACGGTAATTTGACAAGACCCGGCTCACATCTGGATATCACGTTCAGTTGGTTTTATTTGTGGGAGTCGGTGTTAAATTGTTAACCAATTTTAAAACCCCTCATTTTGCACTTTAATCTAGAGAATGAAATAAAACAACAGAGACAAGACCAGCTTTATTCTGCAACCGTGTGCTATTTGATGGACTACATAAATCTGATTGTGAGATATACAGTCAATAAGGGGACGAACATTTGATATTCTGAGGGGGGGGGGGGGTAACAGCATTCTAATCATTTCATGCGTTTCGTAGATATTTTATATCCCGGACAGCACTAAAATCGAACATTTTGCTTTATCGATTTTTACAGGGTACGTCGCGTTTATAGACTGGTTTATTTCAATTGACAGTTTTTTATATATATGTGAATAAAATGAGTTAATTGTGGGATATACGACAATGAGACAGAAACCAAACAACAGAGAAAAGGACATCTTAAAAGCAACATGCATCCTCCAACAATAGACAGTTGTCTACACAAATGTTAAGCTATCAAGCGTCGAAAGTCCAAAATATAGTTACCTATAATTGTTTACATCCACTTCATTTCAACTTTGGTTGTCTCATTGGCAATCATACCACATCTCCTTATCTTTATATTAGTAGAAACATTTAAGATTTGCCCTTGACACAAAACTCTCCAAATAAAGCAAAACATACGACAACTGCTGACGAAGTTCCTGACTTGGGAAATACGAAACTGTGTACCGAGAGTTAACATATTTTATTATGAGATCTCAACACTCCTCCCAGCCTGCAATTGTCTTAAATATTTGATTGTGCGAGTTGTGTAGAATTATATCTGTAATGTGATGGACGATAACCATCATTCAATAGATCTTATGTGATAATTTTGTGGCCTTTTCAAGGCCTTTACTGGTCTCCCTCAAATATACTCGGGCTTTGTTGCCGAAAAAAACTAGACAAATATAACAGAGATAAGATTGGTCTCGTGTTTGATATCCGGAAAATCAGCGCTTTGATGGCCAGAAAAAATATATATATTTGTTTTTAGGTTAGTTTATTGTTTTGTACATAAATCATAAAAAAATTTGTATACAACATAAATTGATGTCCTTTCCTAGATCGACCCTACTAAAAGGCTTATACGCACATGCAATCCTACCCCAACACCCTCAAAAACCGTAAAGACATAACATCACGTACAAAAGAAATGGACCAAAGTAACATAGACATTAGTTTTCTTGCTGTTGATGTACAAAAATGTAATACATTCACTATTACCAAAATTTACTATCTCAGATGAGATATACAAAAAAGAGATGCCGTAAAGACCAATATCATCAATGATATCAGAAAATTAATCATGTCGCACACAGAGCCACTGGTTAATCAAATAGACCAACTTAAACATGAAAACCAAAAACTTAAAGAAGATCTAGATGCAGTTAAACAATATGGGCGTAGAAGTGTAACTCGCTTTTCTGGTGTCCTTTAAATAAATGAAAAGAGAAGCACGAAAGAAATTGTTTGCAGAATTAGTTATTATAATATTACCCATAGGTGAAATTATCATATCAAATCGAGTTGGTGAACTATCAGATGACGCCGATGAAAATAATGATGCTGTAACTACCATTATTGTCCTCCCCTTCGCCTATATCACCCTGCTTAGTAGCTTCGTAATTTCGTAATTCTCGTATCACGGCTTTGCGTTTAGACGTGAACAGACATTATCGGTCATCCCACTGTCTGTATCACTCTGCTCAGCTTTAAATAAAATGCATAGCACGGCTTTATGACCTCAAATACGTTGATCCGGCCTTAATATCATTGACCCGGACATATCAATGACGTCATAAAGAATGAACTGACGTTGATAAGTTTGACCCGAGTTTTGAAGTCACCGGTTTGCTGGTGAAACAAAGAAAACACTTGTGTCTATCATGCAAAATACAACCTGATAAATCGATTATCTGGTTGTTTGCATATTTATATTGTAAAATATCACCTGCTCGCCACAATATGAAGCCTTTTTAAGCTCGTTCTCTGCACTCACTCGACAAAAAGCTTCATATTGTGACTCGAAGCTGATATTTTAAAATATCATTATGCAGACAACTGATAATCGGTACTTATCAGCGATGTCACAATTCTTCAAATAAACCAAAACATTAAGAAATGACAAACGAAAACTACTGACGAAATTTCTGACTTGATACAGGGAAATGAAAATGTGCAGAGTTAAAATATTTTTTGAGATCTCAACCCTCCTCTCTGCCTGCATTATTGTTTTAAAAATTTAAAAATTTAATTGTGTGTAAATTTGATAGATGATAACCTCCATTCAATAGATCTAATGAAAAAAACTGAAATGTAGTGGCTTTTTCAAACCTTTTCTGGTCCTCTTCAAATATGCTCGACATGGTTGCCGAAAAAAAAAAATAGACAAATATAAATTAGTGTATTTAAGCCACTGTACAAAATGTGAATATGTTTAACATTAAGCTACAATTAATGTTATTTTAATTTGTAATTGAACTGTGGCAAATATTTTTATTCTATTACAACAAAATTTTCGACATCCATTTGCATGTACATAGCGCCACAGTTCCGGTATATTCTACACTCCGGCACCGGAGTCTTTCCCGTACCAGGAAGAAGAAAGGATAACAGAGACAGAGACGAGAAGGGTCTGACTTGTGGCTGAAATCCGGAAACTAAGCGCTTTGGCCGAAAAAAGATCGGTATAATTTGTACATAAATTAAAAAAAAAAAAAAAATTATACAACATATAAATAATTATTGACGTCTTCTCTAAATCGACCACCTATATATATAAGGTTTATGCGCACATGTATTCCTACTCTCTCAAACCGTAAAGACAAAAGATCACGTACAAAAGTAATGAACCAAAGTAACATAGACGTTAGTCCTCTTACTGCTGATGTGGAACCTTCACTATTACCACAGTTTACTTCACAGATAAAGATATACAAAAAAAGCACACAGAACAACTGGTTGAATAAAATAGACCAACTTAAACATCAAA